CATTCAGTCTTCGAAGTTTTCTCCTAAATGTAGTCTCAAGTCTGAGAATGTAGTCTCTAAGTTTCAGTCTTTGTGTGTTGTACCTGAGCCTGTTTTGACTCCTCCTCTGTCTACTTTTGATCATATAAATGAAAAGAATTATGTTTCTGAAAATCCTGAATCTATTAAATTATGGCATCTCAGATTAGGGCGCATGTCTTATAATGCGATGAAGAATATTGCAGGGATCCTTGTTTCACATGAGAAACATCGGTTTCCTTGTGATGTTTGCCCCATGGCAAGATAATCTAAGCTTCCTTTCCCAAAAAGTTCTATTTTCTCTAAACATTGTTTTGAACTTTTACATATTGATACTTGGGGACCATACAAAACTCCTACTCACAAAGGAGAAAGATATTTTTTGACCATTGTGGATGATTTTTCAAGAGCTACTTGGACCTATCTTTTATCTACCAAATCCAATGCTTTTCCTCTTCTTAAATCCTTTTTAGCTTACACAGAAAGACAATTTTCTAGAAAAGTAAAGATTATTAGATCCGACAATGCTTATGAATTAGGTTCTGGGAATGTAGATACAGATTTTTTCAACTTTCAAGGGATCATTCACCAGGCAAATTGTGTTGCTACCCCGCAACAAAATGGGGTAGTTGAGAGGAAACACAAACATTTGCTTGAAGTTTGTAGGGCTTTTCTTTTCCAGTCGCATCTCCCTACTAAAAATTGGGGGGAAAGTTTGCTTACTGCCACTCATTTGATCAACTTGTTTCCTTCCAAGGTTCTGAAATACAAAACACTGCATGAAATTCTTTTAGGAAAAACACCAAATTACTCTAACCTTGAACCTTTTGGGTGTCTTTGTTTTGCCTCCACATTGTCTGCTAATAGAGACAAGCTTGCACCTAGGGCAGTTGCTGGTGTTTTTCTTGGTTATCCTTTTGGGAAGAAGGGATACAAGGTGTTAAACCTTCAAACCAATCAGCTATTTGTTACTAGACATGTCAAATTTCATGAAATGATCTTTCTTTTTGTCCACCTAGAACCTATGACAAAACTTTTTCCTTCTTCTTCATTTCCTTCTAGTGATATACCATTTCCTTCCTTATATATCAAGTCCACAAATACTACCTCTCATCTTGATGTTTTCTCGCCTCTTTCTATCCATCAGGATGATTTTTTCAATCCTACCTCAGGTAACACGATAGAACATAGAGACTTGTCTGTTGATTCTCCTACTAATTCTATTTCTCCTGACAGGGATGTGTTACCAACAACACAAGACCAACGCAGATCTACCAGAACAACGATTAAGCCTTACTATCTCTCAGATTATATATGCAACACTGCTTCTACAATTATCTCTCCTAATCCACTTGTGGTTCCTATGTATTCTTCTGCTTATTATGTACTCAATGATTCTAATCATCACCTTTTTTACTCTATTTCACAAATCAAAGAACCTTCTTCTTACCAACAAGCAGCTATCTATCCAGGTTGGACATTAGCTATGCAGCAAGAACTTGAAGCCCTTGAATCTAAATCCACCTGGGAAGTAGTTTCCCTTCCTCCCGGAAAGAAGGCTTTACCTTGCAAATGGGTATACAAAGTCAAACTGAAATCTGATGGCTCTTTGGAAAGATTAAAGGCATGTTTGGTAGCAAGGGGGGATATTCAAAGAGAGGGTATAGACTATACGAAAACTTATTCATCTGTGATTAAGATGACAACCATACGTTGTATTTTGAGTATTGCAGTAAAGAAGGACTGGCTTTTGTATTAGATGGATGTGAATAACGCTTTTCTCCATGGGGACTTGGACGAGGAAGTGTACATGAAGTTCCCTCCGAGGGTTGATCCTCCATCTTCATCTCATGTATATAGACTTCGTAAGTCTCTTTACGGATTAAAACAAGCTTCTCGACAATGGTATTCACGATTATCTGCAGCTTTGGTACTAGGGGATACGTCCATCCATGAATGATTACTCATTATTTACAAAATCTTCAGGGACATTGATAACCATAATTGTTGTATATGTCGATGGTATTTTGTTGACAGGAAACAATACAGAGGAAATTCGTGACTTGAAAATGTTTATGGATAAAAAATTTAAGATCAAAGATTTGGGCTTAGTAAGTTATTTCTTGGGGATGGAAATATTACCTGAATCAGATGGACTCATCATAACACAACGAAAGTTCACTCTTGACCTCTTATTAGAATACCCAAGCATTGGATCTCGTCCTGCTTCCACACCCTTAGATCCAACAATAAAATTGAGCTCTAATTCTGGAACTGTTCTTCAAGATCCAACCTTTTATCGGCGTTTGTTGGGACAACTGAACTTTCTCACCCACACATGACCGGGTTTGTCATATATTGTTCAAACCTTGAGCCAATTTATGCAAACCTCTTGTACAGGGCATTTACAGGCAGCTTATCACACTTTGCGATACCTCAGAAAAGATCCAAGTTTAGGCCTTTTTATCAATTCATCTCCTTCTTTTCATATTCTTGCCTTTTGTGGTGCGGATTGGGTTGCGTGTGCTGATTCCCGCCGATCTGTAAGTGGATTTTATCTTAGCCTCGGAGGCTCTCCAATCTCTTGGAAATCTAAAAAACAGATGGTGGTTTCCTTATCCTCGGCGGAAGCCGAATATCGTTCTATGCGCAGGCTAGTTGTAGAAATCTCTTGGGTGGTTTGTCTCCTTTCTGATCTCTCTTTCTCTCCTTCTCTTCCTATAAACCTTCATTGTGACAATCAAGCAGCAATTCATATTACACGTAACCCTGTCTTTCACGAACGAAAAAAACATATCGAACTTGATTGTCATTTCGTCTGTGAAAAACTTCTTGATGGGTTAATTTCTCTGTCTTTCGTTCCTTCTTCTTCTCAAATTGCAGACTTATTCACCAAAGCTTTGGCTGGACCACTCCATCGGCACTTTATTGGCAAGTTAGGAGTCCGATCTCCGGTCTCCTACTTGAGGGGGATGTTTCCGGTGACTTAATTTGCTCAACAAAGAGAGAAGCTAAGAAGAAGTTGAGTGAAGAAACAGTCTGTTGATTTGCCTTTGGATCAGAACATAAGCCCAACTATATTATTAGATTGATTTATTCATTATGGGCTTCAACAACAGAAACAATAGAGGTCCAGTTCTAGTAGAACAATTTCCTTGTAAATACATATACATGTACATATATTTTAGAGTAGAGTACTCTGGAAACAGTACATGTCCTATTTTATGCTACACAGTTGTATGTACTAGGCAGGTACTTAGTTTATTTTATTACCATTCAATCCCTAGGAAGTTTCAATATATTTTCTTGTACAGTAGCTTTGTAGTCTTAGGTTGAAGAAATACAAAATCCAAAAAATTTCTCACGATCCTTTCTAGTATATTTCTATATATTCTTTCAGAAGCATACCAAAATCATACAACTTACATGAATAATAAACAACATATAGTTAATGCTAGAACAAGTACAATCATGGTAGAGCACATAAACTTTCTAAAATTTAATTCAAGAATTACCTCTTGAAGTATGAACAGATACCTTCAAGCGAATCCACAAGCTAGTCAACAAGCTAGAACCTTCAATTGAATCCACAAGCTAGTCCATAAACTGGACCACAGTTATGCGGTCTTCTACAGTGATCCCAAGTTCACTTTCGAACTCTCTCAATACTTGGGTGGCAAAGTATCTTATAAACAAACTTATTCACTTTTCAAGGGTTAGAAAAATCCATATTTATAGAGATTTCTTCCTATTCCAAGGAGAAGAAGGAATACCATGTCTTTCCTTAGAATAAAAAAAGACATGTACATCCCCCTTTCCTTAGAATAGAAAAGTCACATCCTTCTCCCTTTCCTTAGAACAAAAAAAGTGATATACTTTTCTCTTATCTTAGAATAGAGAGAGACACATACTTCTCTCTTTCCTTAGAATAGAGAAAGACACATACTTCTCCCTTTTCCCTTTAGAATAGATTCTGAGCTCTAGTCAAATATGGGCACGGTAGGGACCACGAAATTAATTATCGAAGTTTCCTATTATGAAAATAATTCTAAATAATTAATTTAAATTATTCTTGCCATAATAAATTACAAATCATTCCACTAGAAATTCGTAATTGCACTCCTCTAGTTATAATTCAAAATTCCCCATTAAACACATGTAATTCCCCATGTTAAGATTACAAATATTAATCAATAAATTAAATTACAGACGAATTTAATTCAATGATCAATATCCTTTAGAGCACTGGTTTACTTATTTCATGTGTCGGATTCATAAATCCTCTTGCATGGTTTGATACGATGAAAACTTATAAGCTTCTCAAAAAGATATATCATCAATCTCTATCGAGACATGAATTCCGTCAAGTAACTTATTATTTCACCAATATATATTATTATCATCCAATCTACTAGACATATTGACCCATCTTAGAATCTCACCTTTTAATAAATCAAAACGATAATTAACATATACAAATCATAATAGTTATATTAGGATTAAGAATATAAGTACATTTAACAGTTTAGAGAATATGTTTTTGTCAGTCAGTCTAAAACAACTATCTCTACTCGGTCTCGTTCAATATATACAAAATGCACTACCACAAGAAGTTGGAACTATATCATTCCCGTAATCAAGATAAATTACATATAATCTTATGCTACAATTGTACTGATGGCATGCCCAATTCCCATCATAGATTGTGAATGAAAAACTTTATACTTATAAGAACCAATGATTTAATTCTCTGTGTATAAGCTAAAACTATATACACTAAATCATCTACTATATAAGTAAACAAACACCATAAACGAATAAATGATCTATTAAAATTGAATAAATAATTATTCTATAATAAATACTATATCTAAACACATGATTAATAGTATATATCCCAACAATTAAGGGGGTACTCCTATGTGAACAGCCAGTTGCGACACCTGATCGAGCTGTGGCTAGGAGAAACAAAGAAGAATCCATTAATTATGGTATTTCTTGTTTTGGATGCTGAAATATGAAGGAATAATTTGACAGAACACTGCTACAGACCATTGTGGTTTTGGGAATTATGGGGGGTGAAGGGAGAGGAAGACCAAATACACATCTTACAAATGTCTTCAGAAAAGAAACCAAAGAGAAAATGACAATTCATACCTTGCTGATTCTTTGCATCTCCTATACCCATGCACAACTTGTTTTGCCGATATACTAATAGTCAACAAGAGCAAGGCAACAAAATCTATTACTCGACCTCTTCAAGTCATTTGGTACAACATACTACCCAGACCTGGACTATCAAAATATGGGGAGCGTGAACAGACTCCACCATATTTGCTACAACTAATTATAAAATACTGCATCAATAATGTTAAGAAGAATAGATAAATACTTCACGGGAGGATCCAGATATCCTCTCACTATGTCTATGAGATTGACCATCAACAGGAAAAGCAAAGCTCAAAATAACTCAAATATCACTGTTGTGTTTCGCTACTTGGGGACTCTTGAGTTGGCCGGCTTTTGATCTGGTAAACCTGCTTGACTTGCTTGTCGTACGCCGGCCCTTTTGAAGTTTCTTGATGCTTTGAGTACGTTGCTGTAGCTCCCCTTGCAGGTTTATTAATCCACTGCAGAGGAGGTGAAGGAAGAGGACCCACATTTTGTGTGATTGGAGGTGGTGGGCAGACGTTAGATAGTTGTCCAGAATTTGGCATTCTTGCCACAGTCGAATAAGGTCTTGTTCTTGCACCACTTTCGATTGTCAACACTGACATTTCATTTCTCATGCTATGATACTGATCCTGATATGAATGTCTATCTTGCATCCTGAAATTTTGCCTAGTATTTTGCAACTCATAAGGGGATGGAGCATATCTGGGGTTCCCAGATGCACCACGAGGCATAAAATTGCTAGGGATATAAGAAGGGTCCTCAAAGAAACCACTTGCATGTCCAGAGGGTCCAGGAAATCGTGGCCTGTGATTCGGAGACGAATTCCTACGACTCATTTGATCATAGAATCCACCTTCATAGCCAGATGGTCCAGCTGGCCTTGGCCTATTCAAAACATGGTTGCCCGGAAAATTTCGAGAATATGATTGATCCAACACTCCAAAATTAGTTCCACCAGGTTTGATATTCAATGAGTTCTTAAGCAACCGATGTGCTGCTTCTCCCAGTGAAGGCCCTGCTATTGCCCCGGGTACAGAACCCCTGCATAAAATACAAGATAAGCCATGCATATCATCAGTTGATTATTTGTATGAAGAAAGTACATTCACAAGCTCATTACGTGCAAGACAATTTCTGTTGTTACTTGTTGTAGATTAACATAGTGAAAAGCAAAGACACCCAAATACCACAAGACACGGATAAGGAGGTCAGATTTTTACCTATCTTTGCCTAGATGGCGCCGGGTTCCATGATCTTCATGCCATAATACAGGAAAAGGTTTTATATCAACAGCTCTCAACATCTGCAGCACAAAGTTAAAAAAAGCTGCATTCACAATCTATATTTTTTATATTAAAAGCAGGAACTCCAATACTTAAAAGTTAAATTACCTATATTCGCTTATTATTTATTTAAATACCTTTATTTTAAAAACCTACAAATGGATACATATGTCTATTTTCCTTTTCTGAATAGTTGCCACTGTTTAGTTGCACCATTTTGATAAATTGAAACTAGCACAAGTTCATTTGGAATCGCACCAGAAAAATAAAAATAAAAATAAAACTGGAACAAGAATATCAACGGACATTTCAATAGGTATCACTTTGGTCTTCATATGACACTCTCTCACACTTCAATCTTCTTCTTCTTTGTTTCTGGTCCAGCTTCAATCTTCTTTATTAACACTTCATCAGATCTGAAATATTAATTTTCTTTCACCAAACTATTATCCTTTTTCCTTGGCTATTTTCTAAATCCTTTGCAGACATGATGTCTTCTTTACCAACTGGAGGAAGTTATATTTACACTATTTTTGACACCCTTCTGGTAAAGCTAAAGGACTGCTCAATGAAGAGAGATGGAAACTATCAATATTCCGAGTCAAGAAGAGAAGGCCTAGCAACCTGGTCTATGAACCACCATGCATTCCCAACATTATTACCTACTTTTGTTTTTGTAGATATTAAATTTCCATGTCAAATGCTCTCACTATATAAGAAGGCCAGATTACACCCCCTTCCTTCCTTGTATTTTACAAAATTCAAAGTAGTAACAAAATTGTGACTTGGATTTAAACAAAAACGGTAAAATACCTTTACCACTGAGATAGATAACTTCAAACGTTTATTGAAGAATCATATAAATATATTTGTTACAATTTGAGGGGAGAGTGAGTTTTGATTTTGAATTGACAACATTTAGTCTTATAAAAATAAATTTTTAGTCTTTCTTTTTTTGATGACAAGGGAAACCCGCAGCCGCTACCCTTTGGGTGAGCGCACAGGGTATAAATTTTATTTTATTTTTGAAACTGGTAACTTTAGTCTATATATCCACAGGTATACTACAACAAAAGTGTAGTTCCCCTTCAAAAGTGTTACAACTTACAGAATAAAATAGTCTTAGTCTAAACTGCTGCCTATAAACAATCTAGCACATCAAAGATGTCTTCTGTCCGAGTTAATATATCTTGTTTACACAAAAAATAGAAAAGAGCTAAGCAGTCCATCTTGATCTTCTGTAAGCTATTCTGCCAATTTTCAAAACTCCTGTTGTTTCTCTCTTTCCAGATTGTCCACCAAATAAATTTTCACAGGGTATAAATTTTTAGTCTTTCTTAAGCATATAAATTTTGAATAATTCATTTCTTGACAATTTTATGCATACTTTTATGAATTCTTTTTCAATTATTGCATGACACTGAATGGTTCACATAATAAACTATTTTTTTTCTTATTTCTTTTCCAATATTGGTGAAGTATAGGGAGTAATATTCTGCACAAGCTATCAAAATTCACAAAGAAAAAAAAGAGTTGAGAGGAACAAAAAAGAGAAACAAATGCAAAGTGAAGGAGAATTTGGAGTTATACTGTTGTCATCATTGTGTCAGTTCCTTTTTTTTCCTCATAGTTAGCCTTTTCTTTCATAAACATCAGCACTCCTAATAATGTGAAATACACATGTTAAAGCTTTAAAAGCACCTTTTAACATTTGAAAAATATATAACTTTAACCAACAAAGAAAAAAAAATACAGTTGTTAATTACAAATATGTATATTACTTATCTATTTCAAATAGTTTTGTTTGAACAACGAGGCTGGAGTTTGAAAATAAAATGCTTGGAGTTAAAGTTGAAAAGAAGATGAAATTGTGTTTGACATAAATTTTTCTTGGAGAAAAAATTAAATTTCTCTTCGTAAAATATAACTTCATTTGAGATACTCAAACAAGATTTTTTTAGCTTAAAAGATTCCATTTAAAAGTGTATTGAAATAATATACAAATTTATAAGTAAACATTGATTTGGAAATAATGTGTGTCTAAATGTCTTTATAACTCAAGCAAAAAATTTAAGTATGCATATGACAAAATACAACATTTTGCAGTACAAATTTTATAATAATGACATCAAATAAATGTGCAGAGAGAAGCAGCAATGCAGCCTATTCAACCAGGCATTGGACCTTTAATGGCGAAAGATGTGTGTCAAAATACATGAAAAAATGAACTGCCGATTAACTCATATTGAAGAAATATTAGAATGAAATAAACTCAAGCATCTACACTAGGAAAAGCTCAAAGAGTAGGCTTGTCTTTAATTTAAAAAAGTGGAGGGCATATGCTAATCAATAGCAGGAAACACCACCTAAATAACAACACTAACTAGATCAATTTGGAAGTAGAACCCAATTTACTAAGATACACGATAATTCCAGTAAAGAAACTGAAAAACTAATTACAGCACATACTCCTGTTAGATTATATATCTGTCATGAAATTAATGGTTAAGCAGTTTTATGATTTGGTTATTATTGTTTAAGAATGCTCACAAATGTACAACAGCAACTAAACAAATCATGGATCCTTCACAAACCTTTTTGGGCATAAATACTCCTTCTGGAGGCCGCGGAATGTGCTTATGAGGTGCTGGATTCAGAAAGGTAATATTTCTGGCCATAAAAGAAAAAAGAAGGTAAAAGAGGTACTTCCTCAAACAATTGAAATATTGAACATGTCAGTCACAATTTGAAAGAAGGGTAGAGGTCCAGAATTGCCACAAAGGAACTCACAGAATCTTATTATTTAAGATATCTTCCAATCCATTAAGTGGGGAAGGAACCCTCTCTCTCAGGCCATTCCTCTCAGATAACCAAATGAATCCGTTCATCCCACCGCTGTGGAAAAGGGAACAAAGGAGAGCTTGAGGAACTAGCAAACAATTGGCATAAAAAAAAGGTTGAAAATTTCAGCAGTAGACCAGATTACCAACCTCAAATTTGGATCAATTATCCATGGCCTTTGGGCCCCGGAGGGAATCATAACATTGTGATGATAGTACGAAATGATACATGGGGCCAAAGTATGGTGATGATGAACATAGAGCAAATCGAACATTACACTGTTCCTTAGTTGCTCCGTGTCCTGTAAAAATACAAAATGAGAATGACAAAAGAACAACTCTAATATGCATTACAATTATACACCTTCCAGCATTTACCACAGTTAAGCTCTGGGAAAACAAAAGGGATCAATGGATACTCATGACCACACTAAACTCCCATGAAAAATCCTCTTAAATGTTTGAAATCATTGTTTGCTTATGGACAACAAAGGAAGGTAAAAACAAATTGTTTAAGGACTAATACGTTGAAAAATAACAATGAACATCCATGTTAAACTACAACCATTGCATCTTTAAGCAGCTATTTAGGTTAAAATAGTGCAATAAATAGAAATACTACGATCCGTGAATTCTAGCGCCACACAAATGGAGACAATCAGAGATAGCCATGGTGAAACATACAGCATTCTGCCGTAGTAATTTCGATGGAACATGGGAAAGCTATAAAACTGTATGCAGTTTGTTAGAATCTTGAAGATCTTCTAGAATATTCTAGGATCCTGTAAATATAGTATAGTTTGATTTATCTTGTAATTATGTATTTTGATTCTATATCCTTTCTAAGAATATGTACACAGCTAATTCATTAGAGGAAAAATATTCCAAGGAGACATTATGCATATCAAATACCATAATATCGAAACCGCAGGATCAAAGTTTCGGTTTCGGTATGGTAATTCGATATTTACCATACCATGCCCAGCCCTAATCCTGTCTACTTTTTAATCTCTTTTTGGCTAACATGTTAACCGGAACAAAATGTCCTTATATCCGGCCAACATAGTAGGCTGCCACGTGGGGACTTTTCCAACAAAATATTTGTGGATGCCCTTGGGGCTAAGAATTAAGTCAAAAAAGATATGCAATGTGGTTACTTAGAGATGTGATAGAAAGTTAGCAAGGTGAAAAATCCAGTATTTATTCTTAGGAGGAAGATTAACACCTATTTTTTGAAGAAAATTTGTTTTTTGAAGATAATGAAGATTGGCACCTATTAACTCAGTTTTGAATGCTCTCCCCACTTACATGATGCTTGCATTTACAATTTCTAGAAGAAGGGTAGAAAATAAATTAGACAGCTAAGGAGAGATTTTTTTGGTAAGGCAACAAGGTGAACAGAAGTATCAATCCAGTGAAATGGGAAGTCGTAACTCTAAGCAAGAAGCAGGGCACTATAGGTATTAAGAATCTGAGTTTAAACTCAATAGAAGTTGTGAGAAATATATGAGAAGAATATTATTGAATTGTTGTTGTTTACATTATTACATTGAGACCCTATTTATAGACCCTAGAATACAATCCTTTACCAAGTAGGATACTATTTAGTATTCCTATTTCTATTTCTATTCCTATTCTAATAGGATTGTATAAACTTATTCCTATTCTAATAGGATTGTATAAACCTATTCGTATTCTCACACTCCCCATCAAGCTAGTGCATACAATTCATGTACCTAGCTTGTTACAAATGTAATTAACACGAGGACCGATGAGGGGCTTGGTGAGATATCTGCAAGTTGATCACTCGACTTCACAAATTTGACAATCAATCTCAATGGGCTTGGTCTTCTCATGAAATACTGAATTTGATGCATTATGCTGATAAAACAGAGTGATAAAATTACAGTGTTGAACTTCCCAAACCAAGCTTGCAAAGACTATTTCAGACCATAGAGTGACTTACGTAATCAACATACAAGGCTACTAAACTCCCCCCTGAGCAACAAAATTAGGTGGTTGCTCCATATAGACTTCTTCACAATGCAACGGTCGCCGAAAGTGCTCAAAATCTAGTATAAAGTGTATGGATCATGTTGGAATCAATAGACGTGTCAATATTTAACAAGAAAGTCACCGAAAAACTGGCCGGAACATGCTCATATGCCGGAGTATTAGATTTGATGGATAAAAGTGGTCACAATCTAAGAAATAAAATTATATGGGTAGGGTCGGAATTATGTCACCACCCAACTAGAAAATAGAAATTATATAGGATAGTTCGAATTGATGGAACGACCTCCATTGAAAAAGAGAAATAATATGGGTAGGGTCGGAATGATGACACGACCCTACTGAAAAAAGAAAATTATATGGGTAGGGTTGGAATGATGGCACAACCCTACGCAAATCAGATTTGAGGAGTCACCGGAAAGACGAATGGAACTATGCAAATCAAATCTGAGGAGTCACTGAAAAGACACATGATGCTATGCAACTCAGATATGAGAAAATAGTTCGGAAAAATCTACGATACTACACAAATTAAATATGAAAAGTAGTCCGGAGAGATGCACGGTGCTACGCAAATCAGATATGCAAAAAAGGTAGTCACCGGAAGGATGACACGGTGCTACAAAAATTATATATGAAAAAGTAGTCACTGGAATGATGGCACAGTGCTACACAAATTAAATATGACAAAGTAGTCACCGGAAAGATGGCACGGTGGTACGAGTTAGATATAAGAAAGTAGTCACCGGAATGATGGCACGGTGCTTACATAAATCAAATATCAGAAATAGTCACCGAAAAGATACACGGTGACCCAACTTTTGCTAACATAATTGTTGGCCCAGACGGGTGGCATATATGAGTAATAGCCGCCCGCCAGCAGCGGAAACACTTTGATTGTTTACTAAGATCGTAGAGGCTCTGATACCATGTGAGAAATATATGAGAAGAATATTATTGAATTGTTGTTGTTTACATTATTACATTGAGACCCTATTTATAGACCCTAGAATACAATCATTTACCAAGTAGGATACTATTTAATATTCCTATTTCTATTTCTATTCCTATTCCTATTCTAATAGGATTGTATAAACTTATTCCTATTCTAATAGGATTGTATAAACCTATTCGTATTCTAACAGAAGTTTTCCGCAAAAAGGCTATGGAAGTTCAACAAATGATTTGGCACTATGGAGAAATTTCATCACACAGAAATATGGAATGGAAAATCATTGCATCCCGCAAGCCAAAAGTTTGACTTGAACCTACGTTTGCTAAGAGAAGAGAGAGAAGGGAAAGATAACTCACAGAAAGAAATTCTTCCGACCACGGAATTGAATACAAGACAGACTTTGATCAGGTTCTTTTATCAATTTCCTAGACCTTGCTTAACTTATTGTTTCTTAAACCAGCTGCTGATAGATCTGATCGGATACCGGACACACAAGAACCTAATCCGTGAGGAATGCATGGTTCTATGGAACCTCAATCTCCACAGGTTTATTAGCTAAATGGCAATTGGCACATAAAATACACCCAATCACTTCTCGTAAATTATTATAACCCTGTTGGAGAGAACTTAGGCAATTCACTTCGAGTACAAGGAAGTCTGGTGGTAGGACTTCCTTAGGGCGTATTACCGTTTTTCACTGAGGGGGTGAACCGAAGCTATTGCGGCGAAGGATTGATCGAAAATGAAGCACTCTTTTCCCGAGTGGAGCTTCTTATGCCTAAATGCAGCAAGCCCCAAGAGTAGTTGAAGTTTCGAACAAATAAGAAGTTTTCAACGAAGGGGTCGAAGGTTGAGCTTGCAATAATCCAAAGGATGCGCAAGACCCCTTCAATCTCGCCCACATGTTAGCTAGCTTGTACTATTGCTCGCCTGCGTAACCTGAATTCTGGCAAGCGCTACGCTAACCTAGCTAGAGCTACATCTTGCTAACATCGTCTGAATTGTCTCGCATGCTCTACATTCATATGGAAAACCCACATCACCTTCGTCTCCCATCGCAGTCGCCTTCTTCATATGGCAATTGGCCAATTGCTACCCGTCGTTTGCACTACGTTGTCAATAACCTAAGAAGTCAGAAGATCCTATGGAAGCAGTGTGAGGAGAACAATTAGAAATCAGTGGCAAGAATTTTTGGGCAAAGTGAAGATCATCGTGGGTAGTGGGAGAAAGACTGACTTTTGGAAGGATCACTGGATTGGTCTTAATGGTTTGAAGTGCACCTTCCTTGATCTATATTTACTGAGTTTCCAAATTCATGCTAAGATAGATAAAATCTGGAGTTAATAAGGTTGGGATTTGAATTTCAGAAGAGCTCTCAATGATTGGGAAATTTAGAGGTTTACCTCAATGCTTCAGCCATTGGTGGTACAATTGAGATGTGAAACAAACTTATATAGATGTTGAACAGCAAAGGAAAATTTTCAGTGAAGTCTGTTTACTGGCATATGAACCACAGAAGCCATCAGATTGCGATTTGGCCTTGGAAACTTATTTGCGGAGTTAAAATTCCAGTGAAGATATCTTGTTTTGTCTGGTTGGTGGTAAGCAAAGCATGCCTAGCTCAAGAAAACTTACAAAGAAGTGGGTTTCACATTTGTTCAAGATATCTATCATATGAACAGAAAAGTGAAAGTAATGAGCACTTCTCCTACACTGTAAGACAACTATAAATCTATGGCACGTGTTCTGTTCTTTTGTATATTGGGGATAAAATGTGTTATGCCTAGCTCCACCCTAGAACTTCTGAGCAATTGGAAGAATGTGGGGAGAAGCAGTGAAGAGGATTGATGGTAGGTCATTCCTGCTTGCAATTGGCGGATAGTTAGGAAAGAGAGGAACTCAAGATATTTTATTTTTTTTGACAAAGGTAACAGTTTTGGGTATTATTATTTAGCACTAAAGGCGGGGATCCCAAATTTACATCATGGAGCTACATACAATTGCGTGTACTTAAAACAAAACTAAACTAGATCCTACTTCATCTTACAAAGGACCTAGGATATCTCTAACCGCTATAGGGTCATCTACATACTCCGAACTACACCAATAGCAAAAAGTGATTATGCAGTTCATTTTGAAGACACTACCAATCCCAAATCAAGAAAAATAGGTTACATTGTTTTAGTTTGTATTTTTTTAGTGGAGCAATACATAAGCTTATGGGTTTTGGACAGGAGAGTAGGACAACCCTTATACTTCTCAATGTTTGTGAAGTTAGACAACTGAGCATCAATTTTTTATTAATACAAATGGTTACCTTAATCTCTGTGAGAAATATAGGAAAAGAGTATTATTGAATTGTTGTTGTGTCTACATTATTACATTGAAACCCTATTTATAGACCCTAGAATACAATCATTTACCAAGTAGGATACTATTTAGTATTCCTATTTCTATTTCTATTCCTATTCCTATTCTAATAGAATTGTATAAACCTATTCCTATTCTAATAAGATTGTATAAATCTATTCTTATTCTAATAGGATTGTATAAACCTATTCTTATTCTAACACTCCCCCTCAAGCTAGTGCATACAATTCATGTAACCTAGCTTGTTACAAATGTAATTAACACGAGTTCCGATGATGGGCTTGGTGAGATATCTACAAGTTGATCACTCGACTTCACAAAATTAACAATCAATCTCAATGTGCTTGGTCTTCTCATGAAATACTGAATTTGATGCATAATGCTTATAAAACACAGAGTGATAAAATTACAGTGTTGAATTACCCAAACCAAACTTGCAAAGATTGTTTCAGACCATAGAGTGACTCACATAATCGACATACAAGGCTACTAAACTCCCCCTAAGCAACAAAGTGCTCAAAATCTAGTATAAAGTGTATGGATCATGTTGGAATCAATAGATGAGTCGATATTAAACAACAAAGTCACCAAAAAATTGGTCGGAACATGCTCATACGCCGGAGTATTAGATTTGATGGCTGAAAGTGGTCACAATCTAAGAAATAAAATTATATGGGTAGGGTCGGAATGATGTCACGACCCAACAAGAAAATAGAAATTATTTAGGATAGTTCAAAGATGGAATGACCCCATTGAAAAAGAGAAATAATATGGATAGGATCGGAATGATGGCACGACCCTACTGAAAAAGAAAAATTATACAGGTATGGTTGGAATGATGGCACAACCCTACGCAAATCAGATTTGAGGAGTCATCGGAAAGACTAATGGAACTATGCAAATCAAATCTGAGGAGTCACTAAAGAGATATGATGCTATGCAACTCAGATATGAAAGTAGTTCGGTAAAATCCACGGTACTACATAAATTAAATATGAAAAGTAGTCCGGAGAGATGCATGGTGCTACACAAATAAGATATACAAAAAAAGGTAGTCACCGGAAGGATGGCAAGGTGCTACACAAATTAAATATGAAAAGTAGTCACCAGAAAAATGGCACGATGCTACGCAAACCAGATATGAAAAAGTAATCACCGGAAAGATCACACGGTGCTACACAAATTAAATATGAAAAAGTAGTCACCGGAATGATAACACGGTGCTACACAAATTAAATATGAAAAAGTAGTCACCGGAATGATGGCACGGTGCTACACAAATTAAATATGAAAAAGCAGTTACTGGAATGATGGCACGGTGCTACACAAATTAGATATAAGAAAGTAGTCACCGAAGTGATGGCACGGTGCTACACGAATTAGATATGAGAAAATAGTCACCAGGAAAGATACACGGTGACCCAACTTTTGCTAACATAGTCATTGGCCGGACGGGTGGCATATATGGATAATAGCCGCCCGCCGGCAGTGGAAGCTCTTTGATTGTTTACCAAGATCGTACAGGCTCTGATACCATGTGAGAAATATAGGAAAAGAGTATTACTGAATTGTTGTTGTGTCTACATTATTACATTGAGACCCTATTTATAGACCCTAGAATACAATCCTTTACCAAGTAGGATACTATTTAGTATTCCTATTTCTATTTCTATTCCTATTCCTATTCTAATAGAATTGTATAAACCTATTCCTATTCTAATAGGATTGTATAAATCTATTCTTATTCTAATAGGATTGTATAAACCTATTCTTATTCTAACATCAAAAAGAGAGAGAGAGAGGAACATCCAAGTCTCAATTCAACTATTCGTCAATCAAATCTACTAGAACTTGAAGCAGTATTAACTTTTGGGCACATAAGTGGTGGGGGGAGAGAGTTGAGGGAAGTCTTCCCTAACATATACAGAGTGTTTTGCCAAAGAGAGATGACGATTCAGCAGATTCGTATGTCACACAAGGGGGTAATTCACTGGGATTTGAGATTCAAAAGGAACCTTCAGGAATGGGAGATGGAAGAATTTCACAAATTGACTGAGATTTTGTCTGGGGTGGATAATCCAGCAAACATTTTAGATGCTTGGAATTGGCGGGTGAGTGTAAATAGTTTGTTCACTGAGTTTTTATTGGTGAGAGGGGAATGCACTTTCCCTCATGACTCCATTCGGACACCTAGAGCACCAAGAAGGTGTATTTTTTTATGTGGTTGGCAGCAAGGGATATGATCTTAACTGCAGAAAATCTGATAAAGAAGAGGATCAAGTTGGTGCTTCATGTGTAAGAGCTCGAGCAAAAATGTAGATCATCTTCTATTGCACTAAAAAGTGGCTAATAAGTCATGGAGGGTAGTTCTTAATTTGTTTGGATGAAATGGGTGATGCCCAGTGAAGGAGGTTTTACAAAGTTGGACCAATAAGAGGGGGAAGAGAAGACCAAGGGCTTGGAGTGTTTCCCCCTTAGCAATCATGTGGGTTATTTGGAAAGAGAGAAATAGGAGGGCTTGTGAAGGGTTGGAACAAGATTTTGTAAAAATGCAAACTAGTAAGTTGTCTCTAGTTTCTTTTTGGTGTACTTATGATGTCCCCATTTGTATAGAGGATTGGATCTCTTACTTATGATGTCCCCATTTGTATAGAGGATTGGATCTCTTTGTCGAGACCCATATTTTGGTGTAGGTTCTCTATATGGCTTGTACACAGAATTTCCACAATTGTCAATAAAATTATTTAGCTTATTGAAAAAGAGAAAAAAAAACTACTAGAGCTGCATGTGTCTCGTGAAAATGATGCTTATAGCAAGGACGGAATAATCAGAGTAACCAAAACGGAGGCAACATAAATTGAAGATGGAAAAACTAGTTGTACTTAAACTACTCTCTTTTATCCTCTTAAGGCAATCAAGTTCACCATCTTTACAAATTTAAAAGTAGATACTATTAACAACAAGACCCAAGACAGTAAAAGGTCTAAAATAATTTTTTGTTTTCATACCGTTAACGTGTCTTCAAGCTTCTTTGTTTCAGCAAGTAACTTTTTCTCATCGATGAATGGCAATTTTACAACAGCCTATTTCACAGAGGAAATAACAAGTAGTTCAGAGATATCAAACTTTCAAATAAGTGAACATCTACAATCATCTCGAGAACCACTTAACCTACGAAAATTGTTGTGAAACTACCTGCCATGCAAAACGCTTCCCATTCATGTCAAGTTCAAAATCTGCATTCACAAAAGAATTTATGATGAATGATTGACTTCGGAACATAAGAGAAATATAGTAAACTGAACTACAGTAAAATGTTGACATCACACCTGTTGGGTAAAAATCAGAAATTGGTGATGAAGGATCCATCATTAGCATCCTGTACTTTTCAGGAAGAGCTTTTGCACTGCAGGACAGGTGAAGAGGGAGACAAATACAAAGAACCACAAATAACCACCAACTTAGAGAAATAGTCAAACACAGTATAAAAGATGTTTCCTTTGAAATTTCCTTCAATACAGAGTATAAAGAGCCTAAAGATAACCTTGCAGCTGGTAGAACACCCATTAGCTGATCGAAGGGCTTAAATGGTTCCCCTGGGAAAAAAGTAATTTCCAAGTCTGCTAGACCTTTGAGATCAGAAGCAAATGGAGCGTAATGATACGGGTAAAACCTAAAAAAGAAAAGTGACGTCATAAGTGCACATTTCCACTTGAACCATCAGAAAATTAGAAAGGACAAAGAAATGTTTAGAGTAACTAAGTTTCTCCCTCTATCCCAATTAATATGAACTCTTCTGATTCTGGGACAGCCAAAAATGTTTGACACCATGCCACTAATTGTATTATACATTACGAATTTCAAAACTTTTGAGAATTCAAATTCACTTTTATTATTCAATTTTTGAACTTTGATGTGATGTTTTCTCTACCAAACTAATCTCACACATTACTTTAATATGTTTTCCACTACCACTAGTACAATCAATCAAGTAAAATAGCATTTTCAATTGTGTCGAATCTAACGCTGCCATATAAAATGGAATTAGCCGATAATTTTGAATCAAGTATGAAGTGGTCTTGTCCCCTATTGTGGGATTATACCGAGTATGCTGTTGTTGTTATAATTGTATGGAGTGGCATTGCCTAGTGGTCAATTAAGTGGATATAAATCTTAGACCAGGATTGAAATCCCAAAAAGTACACTAGCTGATGCTCGCAAGTTGACTTAGAAACTACCATTATCACCAAAAAAACACTTCCGACACAATAATGAAGCATAAAAAGTAGGAAGAAGAGAGGTCCCCCCTAGACCCCAAGCCCCTCACACCCAATTTACAAAAAGAAAAGAATGACTAAATGGATAATAAAAAATTTGACTAGTATACTACAAAAGGAGGTGTTGCTTATGCAAGGAGGCGGGTGAAGATAGAGATCATCTTCCTCTATATTGCAGCCTGGCCACAAAACTGTGGTGGGATATTATTAGTTGGTTTTGTATTTCATGGGTGATGCCTAGATCTGTTAAGGACTTGTTGTTTAACAGGAAAGTTGGAAGAATAAGGAAAATGCGCAGGGCCTGGAATTTTGCTTCTGTAGCTCTGATGTGGATTATTTGGAGAGAGAAACGGGAGAGCATTTAAAAGGGTAGAAATGAGTTTGGGTAAGTGTTTCTGATCCCTTATTTAATGTTTGTGCACCCATGTAGCTCCTGGTTGTAAAGAGCAATGGGTGTCTTTTGTAGATAACCATCTCTTTCTGTAGGTTCTTCACTTTTTGGTATACCTCTAGCATGCGGCTGATTTTGTCCTTGTTGATTAATGAAATTGTTCACTTGATCACAAAAAAAACAAAAAAGGAGTCATACAGAGCATCCCTACAAGGATAAGTACAATTGTCAAACAGTAATCAACATCATATATGTAGCACACTGCATGCATAAAACAGCAGCTCCATCTATTTACCACAATGTACTCAATGAAGCAATAGTTACACGAAGAAAGGCATAAAGATGAAGTAGAAAATACTATTTATTTAAATCCAGGAAAACAACAAACCATTGCCACGAGCAAACACCTTGGTAGTAATACCGGCAAACCCAACATAATCCTTCCACATACTTCTGAACCTGAAATTTTGAGATTAATCATCTAATAGTTTTGACAACAGAACTCAGTTTCTCTATCATCTTACTAGCTACAGGATGCAAAATGATGTTTATCTGCAAAAGAAAGGAAGGTGTGAAGAAGGGAATTCTCCTTTCCCTCCTGACACATCTATCCAAGTTGGACATAAATGACTACAGCATCATTACATGTAAATACAGGCCCCAAAACCACAGAGTTCACAAAGAGGAAAATGGGATCTCTAAGCACAAGGGCACTTACTCCACTAATGAGCATTGTGGTGCAACAAACGAAGCTTTTAAAACTCTAAAGGGAGAGCTCAAGTAAAGTGGGAGACTGTAGATAACAACTTATCTAGATGTTTATTGTCCTTATTTCAGTTTATTTTACTTTATTGTGCTTCTTTGGAACTAGATGTTACTTATTCATCCTTTATTTTTTTTAATTACTCTTACTTCCAACCAATTGCAATTGGTTGGATGGTGAAACACAGTCAATTGTGCTTCATAAAGGTAAATCAAAGCAGGCTCATTTGAAACTACAACAAAACAAGTGCATAATTTCATAGGTGTACGAAAACAAGCCAATAGTGGTCTTTAAAAAAAGGTTTTACAGGGTCAAGATATTGCATTCCAAAATTCACGCAAGCACTAATGTGCAGCAAGAGTAAATTAACGGCATGCACTGTGGATAAGAAAACAGAAAGAAGTTGTAGATGCATTATAGGTCAGAAATTGTATTAACTTTCTTTCACCCAATGATTTTTGCAACTGAACTTATCACTCTCAGAAGTTGTAGATGCAACATATTTATCTGCTTCTTTACAATTTTTCATGTGTATATAAAGTTTGAGCCAAATGAATGAGTTCGGTAAAATCCATAATTATCACTGTAGATCCACCACTGACTGTATACCAAGAAGTACAGAGACATACAAAATAATATGGTTCACTACAAGGACATACAATAATCAATAGAACCCGAGACATCATGCATGCACCAAGAGGAAACCAAAAACAAGAGGCTACTCCTCAAATATACAAAGTCACTCTCTATCTTCCAAATGTTCTTTTATTTTTCTCTTTCCATATTATACAGTAACATTAAGGGGTCACTTGGTTTACAAACAAGTTATGAGGGGATCGGCAATACACGGATTACTAATGCGGAGACTGTAATGTAAGAGTTAGTAATTGATGTTAGGCCAAATATATGAGTAATCTAGTCATTATTTGCCTCACATTTAGTACTTTTAATTGCCTTTTAATATGGATTTTATCACTTGGAGCGTATAATGGTGTTTTTTGATGTGTAGTATTTAAATGAAGAAGTTGAGCTAAAATGGATGTATTTGTTCTTCGATTTGTTGATTTGTTGTTGGTGTTGATTTGGTGTTCCTTCATAGCTTTATTTTAGTCAATCCCAGTCCCTGTTCTCGCGTTTTGCCTACTGTTTATTGCATATAAAAATTTTGCTTACTGTTACTGTATATATTATATATTGTATTGTTCCGTTTTTCTCATTGGTTCTAAGTTACTTGTTTTCTTCAAGATTGGGTTGCATTCACAGTATAGTGATCCTGTCTCCAATTTCTTGATCTATATTCTCTTTCTCCCATAGCATACTTTGTATCGTTGTTCTCTTTTATTGATTTGCGGTATAGTTCGGGTTCTTACTTGCTTCGTCCTGATTTACAGTATAATTTGGAATTATTGCTTGTTATCTTGCATTTCAGACTATACACTTGATTTAGTATCCCTTGGTAAATTCCTTTGTAGTTACACCTTATTTGGTGGCTTCGGTGAACGATGATAGATTAGGGTCATGTCTACAGTTGAAGCTGGGATTGAGGGGAAGGGGCAGTAAGTGGGTTAAAGGTTCTCCTAGATTGAGAATAGGGTCTTGGAATATATGGTCTTTGACAGGGAAGTACATAGAGTTAGTGAAGATTCTAAAAAGAGGAGGATTAATATAGCATGTGTCCAGACGACCAAATGGGTAGGTACCAAGGCTTGGGATGTTGATGGTTTTAAGTTGTTGTATTCAGGCTCGTGAGATAGGAATGGAGTAGGCGTTTTAGTAAACGAGGACCTTAGGGAGCAAGTGGTGGAGGTTAGGAGGATCAATGATAGGATGAGGACGATTAAGCTAGTCGTTGGAAGGTTTACTTTGAACAATATTAGTGCTTACGCGCCTCAGGTGGGCTTGGATGAGGTGGTGAGGGGTACACTGAGAAGTAAACCGAAAAACAAAACCAAATTGAACTGAATTCTAATTTGGATTGATTTTTTAGTTTGGTTTTGGATTAATAATTTACTTTGTTTGGTTTTTTGGTTTGGTTTCGGATTTAGAAAAATATAATCGAAAAAACCATATATATATATATATATATATATATATTCATTTTCAAATTGCAAATATAACTTTGATTATGTTTCTAATTATTGACATAACCGAATAACCAAACTGAAAAGAAAAAACCTAACCAAACAAAATTTATTTTGGTTCGGATTGTGGGTTACACTTCTTCAAAACCAAAAAAACCAAATGCACACCCCTACTGAGAAGATATTTATTGACGAGATTTGAATGATCACATCAGGGCAACATCCAGTGGTTTTGACGATGTGCATAGAGGCTTTGGTTTTCGGGATAGAAATAGAGGTAGGACCTCGCTCCTAGATTTTACTAGAGCTTTTGAGTTGGTGACAGCTAGCTCATGCTTTCCAAAGGAGGCAGTTGGTTACCTTCTGTGGTGTAGTGGTTAAAACTAAAATAGATTACTTACTCTTAAGGAAGGGTGATAGAGGCCTTTGTAAGATTTCAAGGTTATCTGGAGTGAGAATCTTACTATTCCACATAAGCTTTTGGTGAAGGAGTTGGAGAATATGCATGGGAGGAGGAAGAGGATTTTATATGACTGGCCAAAGATTAAATCGGGTTACTTAACCCCTACCCTCTCTTGGGAAATGGGAGAGAAGTTGATAGAGATGGGGTCTTGGAGTAGTAGTGGGGATATGAACTACATGTGGGATGAGATAGCTAGTTGCATTAGGAAAGCAACTAGAGAGGTGCTAGGAGTGTCTAGGGGTAACTATGGTGGTCACCGATGGGATTGGTGGTGGAATGGATAAGTGCAAGGCAAAGTGGAAGCAAAGAAGGTTGCTTATGTAAAGTTGGTGGAATGCAAGGACGAGAAGGAGAAGCACACAAATAAGGAAATTTATAAGACGGCATAGATGGAGCCTAAGTTAGCGGTTAGGCAACACAAACAACAGAGCTTAAACGATTGTATGTAGAACTAAGGGACAAAGATGGTGATATAAGACATGTACAGAGGAGCTAAAACGCGGGTAAGAACACTCAGAGGAGACTTGAAGCATTTTCCTGTGGAGATGGGGTTACACCCGAGGTCGACTCTTAGCCCATTTTTATTTGCCTTGGTGATGGATGTATTGATGCAAGACATTCAAGATAAAGTGTCGTGGTGTTTGTTATTTGCGGATGACATAGTCCTGATTGATGAGACGCAATTAAGTGAATGCTAAGTGAGAGGTGTGGAGACAAACTTTGGAGGCTAAAGGGCTTAGGTTGAGCAGGACTAAGACGGAATATGTGGAGTGCAAATTCAATGATGCAATACATGAGGTAGGAGTGGAAGTGAGGCTTGACACACAAAATATCCTCAAGAGAGATAGATTCAAATATCGTGGGTCTATAATCTTGGGGAGTGGAGACATCGACGATGATATCACACACCATATTGGTGCGACATGAATGAATTGGAGAGTTGCCTCTCGAGTCTTGTGTGATAAAAAGGTACCACTGAAACTCGAAGGTAAGTTTTATAGGGTGGTGGTTAGACCGACATTGTTGTATGGGCCTAAGTGTTGGCCAGTTAAGAACTCCCATGTCAAGAAATGCATGTTGCGTAAATGAGGTGGATATGTGGTCATACTAGGAGCAATAAGATTAGAAATGAGGATATCGAAATAAGATAGATGTGGCCTCTTCAGTGGACAAGATGAGGAAAGTGATACCGAGATGATTTGAACGAGTGAACAGAAGATGCATCAAATTCGGCGACTTTATAGGGTTGTTTTGTGTCACCCCATATATGTTAGAGTTGTACGAAAACCACACCACCATGGAGTCCCAAGCCACTCGTGACCATAACCCATAAAATTACACCAACAGAAAACCTTCTGCGTGCCGCCGGAAGTGGCCTTCTCCAGCAAGATCTACACCACGCGATGGGTGCATCAGTCTCTTTCCGACCACTTTTTCAAGACTACTTTTTTCTCCGATCAAGTCACTTAGTTCCAACCCCAACCATATATTTTTCTTCAAGTTCTTACGAGGAAATCATTGTTCCTACCAGGTCCATCCTCGTTTGGGCTCCCAACCAATGCTCTAATTGGGTGTGGGCGTGAAGAGGGTGTTAAAGTGTATTAGAGTCCCACGCGATAGGTGCATCAATCTCTTTCTGACCACTTTTTCGAGACTTCTTTTTTCTCCGATCAAGTCACTTACTAGTTCCAACCCCAACCATATATTTTTCTTCAATTCTTACGAGGAAATCATTGTTCCTACCAGGTCCATCCTCGTTTGGGCTCCCAACCAATGCTCCAATTGGGTCTGGGCGTGAAGGGGGTGTTAAAGTGTATTAGAGTCCCACATTGGTAGGGAAATGAACTGGTGTTATGTTTATATGGACTTTGGGAAATCCTCCCCTCATGAGCTAACTTTTGGAGTTGAATTAGGCTCAAGATCTATTTCTTTACACGAATTTTAGGAGATGTAGAGGTAGGCAAAAGAATTATTTAGGGGAGGTGATTAGACATGACATGACATATCTCAAGCTTATTGACCCTATGGATGTGGAGATTAGGGTAGAAATGTAGTATGTAGTCTAGTTGTAGCACTTTTACGTGGGAGAGGCAAGGGTAATCTCCTCTTCCCATCTTTCCTTATTTAGTAGTATTGGTTTTTTATCGTGTAATATCTTATTCTTCAATTTCTACTACTACCTGTTGATCAATTTGCTTTCTTCATCTAGCTAATTTGTTGTAGTAATTTTCCTTTCAATTCGGCTTTGATTGTACTCCTTTGACCCGAGGGTCTACGGTCTACCGAAAACAACTTCCCTACCACATAAGTAGGGGTAAGGTCTACGTACATCCTACCCTTCCTAGACCTCACTTATAGGATTACACTGGGTATGTTGTTATCTGATTATTGGCTTGTTCCAATGGTGATGCTATGTGATTAGTCATTAAGTTTAGAGCCAACAACACTCTACTTATCATATGCCAAGAGTGAAAGTCAGCAATTCTTTCCCAACACTCTCAATTCCATTTTACATAACACTCTTTCCCATTTTAAGTTTGTTGCAATGCTCATTTTATATGGCCCTCTTTCAATTTGTCTATACCAAAAAAAAAATTATATGCTCTTATGGGGTCGTTTGGTTTGAATACAAGTTATGATGGGATAAATTATGCTCAGATTATTTCTGATTGAGTGTTTGGTTTATTGTATTCAAAATAATATGCATTGCATAAATTTTAAGAATAAGTTGTTTGTTTACAAAAATACCCTTCACTCTATTTAGTTTTTTATATTTTCTTTGCAATCTTTAGCTTTTCATTCTTAAAAATAAAATTTTCATCTTATTTAGATGTATCTTTGTGTGTGCATTCCCATGTCCGTATGCGTTTAAAAATAAAACTTTCATCTTATTTAACTTTAAAATAGAACTTTCATCTTAAGTTTGTAAAAGTAAAAGAGGATTTATTATTTATATCACTTCATTAAGCACATATCACTCTTAAATTGTAAAATTTTAAAGTTATCTTCATTTTAGTTGATTTATAAAATACAAGCTTTCAAGTGACTAAAAGAATATATAATTAAAGATATGTAATACAGTAGTAGAGATATAAATTATAAAGAAACATAAGAGTTAAATCAAATAAATTCATAAATAAAAATTATATTTATATAGTGTAGTTCTTTTTAAAAAAATATGAAGAATCATAAAAATAAGGAGTAGTGAAGGTTGTGAATGTTATTATACATGGTATTAAAAATAACGTGAATCTATATATATATAGGGGCGGATTTAGGAAGGTGGATGGGGTGTCACGTGACATTGCTTCGTCGGAAAAATTTCTAAATAGGTATATACAATTAAGAAACAAAACCAGATATAGCAGTTATATATTACAATATTACAAGTGACACTCCTTAAACAAAGAATGCATGTAGCCTAGATGGTTTTGTGCTGAAGAACCATAGTGAAAGTTTCGGTTTCAAACCTCCACAACCTCATTATTTATGTGTGTATATATATATTCTCATTTTAAAAGGGTGATACCGCTTACAATAAATCCTGCGTATGCCACTGTATATATCCCAAGATTACTAAACCACCTTAAACCACCCAAGGGAAGGAATAACTTATCCCGATACTAATTGTTAGTCCCAGGATAAGCTATTCTGGACTTGCCAACCAAACAACAAATTAAGTGGCACCATAATTTAATCTCAGAACTATTTGGTGTTATCATTCACACCAAACGACCCCTTATGGACATAGACGTCATGGCATGTTTAACGCATGTTTAAATTATACTTTTTGTATACCCATGGAAATGTGGCATGTTTAAAAACTGGACATTTTAAGGGTACTTTGGGTATGTCTCAAAAGTCTTTTCTTTCTTAAACTTCGTACCCAATAAAACACTGCTATATTAAATGGAACAGAGGGAATACTATCCAGAAATAGTGACAAGCAATCCAACTGAATATAATATGAACAGATTATGAAAGAAGTGCAGTAAGAGTAGACCATATTCTGTAATTGAACTTACTACATCTTGTCTGACTTCATGGATATCCTCTGCAGTTGATACACCAAATTTCTCAGAATAATACCTTTCCTTGTATCCAGGCTCTCCTAGCTTCACCTAAAAGGTAATAGACATTTGATAGCATTCATAAAATGAATTACATTTATTCTACATATGCAGCATGCATGCAATCAAACTTTCATTCTGCAATAAGATGATATAAATATAGTTCTACTTTCAAAATCCAGTAACATACAACTTCTACAATGGGTTGAACTAGAAGCAACAAAAGTCGGAAGAAAACTCCAACCATATTTAGCACAACTTTTCACTAAGATTTCTGACTTCCATAGGGTTTACTCTATCTAGCACATTTGTTCTCTTCTCTATTTCAGTACATTCTGTTGCTGCAGGAGTTCCTCACCAAGTTAAAGACTTTCATCACTATCCTTACTTTTCTCTCAAGTATAAAACACTCTATTCAATAATATTTTTTACTTTGATCAGGTAAAGGTAAACACACCATTCCCCATTGTCCAGCAAATGCATGCTGGGACAATCTTCCATATCTCCTCCTTTGAAACATTGCCATCCCCAATCCAGCTACTTAGAACTCCTTTGATGCTTCCTGGTTTCACCCACCTAATTCCCTACAGGAAAATGAACATTCTCCAGCTTCTCAGTCCACTAACAATGTAAAAAAAGATGGTTAATTGTCTCTTCTTGTTCTCCCCACAGACTACAGAGTACATCTAGAGGCAAATTGATATCCTCTTTTCTTCAGATTTTCATGGGTTAGAACTGCTTCTTTTGACAGCAACCACAAAAAGCAGTTTACTTTGTAGGGCACCTTTGGTTTCCAGATCATCTTCCACGGCCAGTCTCTCTTGGTCTGCAGTTTTGTTGAGTACACTACCCTATATGCTGAATTGATGGAGAATTGACCATGAATGTTACTATGCGAAACCAGTGAGTCCTTCACCTCAGTAAGATTGCTAAAATTATCTACTGAGTTTTGGAGTACGATTACCTTCTCTATTTCCCAGTCATATAGGTGTCTCCTTAGGAACAAATTCCTGCCTTGACTTATGGCCACTGTTACCTGTTGTTGTTGACATAACATGCATATTTCTGGATGCAGTTGTTTCATATGTGTTGCTCCATTCCATTTGTCCTCCCAGAAGCAGGTTTTTGACCATCTCCCACTTTGATTCTGGATCTGGAATACAACATAGGCCACAGGTTCCTGATTGCTCTCCATACAGTGCAGTTGTATGGAGTGTTAACCACTTTTGTCAGCCACTTGTCCTCCATGCCATACTTTGTTGTGATAACCTCCTTCCAAAGCATATGATCTTCATTGGCAAATTTCCACAGCCACTTCAACATGAGGCTTTGGTTTTGCTTCCTTAAGTTCCTGATGCCAAGGCCACCTGTATTCTTGTTGACTATCAATTCCTCTCATTTAACTAGGTGGAACTTCTTTTTATCTTCACTGCCTTGCCATAGGAAGTCTCTCCCAAGGGAATCAATGATCTTAGATACACTAGCAGGCATTGGAAATATTGACATTATATAGGATGGTAGTGCACCAAGGACAATGTTGATTAAAGTTAGTCTGCCTCCAAGGAAAGGTATTGACTTTTCCATTTTGGTGAGTTTCTTTTCACATTTCTCTAGGACCCCATTCCAAATACCTTTGGACTTGCTTTTAGCTCCCAGAGGCATGCCTAGGTAAGACGTTGGAAGTTCCCCAATCTTGCCTCCTCACTTACTAGCCAAGCTTTCTATCCCTGTCACTAGGGGTGAACAAAACCGAACCAAAAACCACACCAAACCGCGAATAGAGTCAAACCGAGAAAATAAACCCGACTAGTGGTTTGCTTTGACTTGATTTAGTACTGGAAAAAAAACCCGACCATAATTGGGTTGGTTTGATTTTAACATAAAAAAAAGTCAACCCGAGACCAAACTACCCGACATCATATATATATATATATAATTTATATTATACATAAAAGTATTTACTTTGATATAATAATGTCCCAATACTACTTGAAAAATTCCATGGAGAAGCCATCTGGACCTGGGGCCTTGTCCCCTGCACATGCCTTGATGCTTTCCAGTACCTCATGTAGTTCAAAAGGGGCTTCCAACATGGAACTGTCTCCTGCACTGATCCTAGGGCAATTCTCCGTCTCTAAATGAGGCCTCCACTATTCTGTTTCAGCATATAAGTTCTCATAGAAGGTAACTATTTCCTTCTTGATTATCAATAGTGCTGGCTCTCCTGTGAGTATTTGTTGTCTTATGGAAGAAGTTTGTATTTCTATCCCCTTCCTTTAGCTATGTCACCCTAGACCTTTGTCTCCAAGCTATCTCTTCCTTTCTGGCAATATCTTCAAATTCAATTATAAGAGTCATTCTGGACACAATTTGCTCCTCAAGCAAGGTTCTGTGCTCCTAGATTTCTTCCAGTCTTGTCAATTGTGTTAATACCAACTGCTTTTGAATTCCCAAATTACCTTGAACTGATTTACTCCAGTCCTTGAGTTTAGTCTTCAGAGCCTTCAGCTTGACCATTGGAACAAAATCAGGATTGCCAACACTAGAGAATGAGTCCCACCAGATCTTGACCTTCTCTTTAAACCCCTCCATTTGAAATAAGAATTGGAATCCCCCCAATCACCACACTATAGCATCATAATTGGAGAACTGTCTGATGTTTACCCTCTGCATGACTGACTGTTTTATGTTACTGAAGCAACTGTCTAGTCAGTTTTTACTATTTTTTATTTCCATAAAAGGACTTGTTGTCCAAAGTAGAGTAGGATTCGAATCCTCAAGTTCCTAGGGGGATTACACTGTTTTTACCCCTATATATAGGGGAGTTCTTTTGTTTTTTCCAGAAAACATTATAATATATTTTTTGTTGACACACAACATTCTTAATATTATTGAAAGTTCTTTTCTTTACACTTTTGTGTATTGGACTTGGGATTTATCATCCAGCCTTACGAGAACGATTCTTCTAAGAGGTAAGATTAATTCTATGTTTTTTGAAGTTTTTAAAAAAAAATTAAAAGTAATTCTATGTTTGATATCTATTGTTCTTACTCGATCAATTGAACAAGGTAATTAGTCTTATACTAACTATTGTCTTTAATTATTCAAAAGGTGTCAAGATCACCTTCCATCTAAGTTCTTGAATTGAATCTGCTAGTAAACATGATTAACCCTAATCAGCTAATTAGGTCTACTACAATCAATTAGGGTACTAAGTCAATACTTTCAAGATTTAGAGGATTTATTTCTCGAATTTCTCCCATCTTTAATTTCCTGTCTTTAATCTTTAGATTTGCGCTTCCACATTATTTTCTTTTCTATTCTCTAAAGTAAGTCGATTCTTATCAAGAAGGAACTCAAGATGTTTTGAAGGAATCATCATTTCCAGTCAGTCTGAAGATAAATTGTCTACTTTGTTTTACTTTTAATGTAAAATGAATTTAGTAAATGACAAAATAGAATCTTTGTAAAAAGAACAAGGATATTTTTGGTTTTTTGGTAAATTGTAAAGATGGTTTTAAGCACAGCTCTGGTGCTGAATATTTCCAGAAATGTTACATTTCTCAAAGGAAAAAAATGATTGGGGACTAGATGGTTGATTGAACTTTGAAGAGATGGAAGAAGTGACCAGCTATTCCAACAAAACTTAATTTTATGAAGCACAAATATGGAGAGTCGGGAATAACAAGGAGTCAAAAACAAAGCCAAGAAATTATTGGAATAAAAAACATAGAATAAAGATATTATCATTTACTTGATAACTTTTAAAATTGTTTAACCCAAAAAAAAAAAAGATAGCTTTTAAAATTGACTAGGATTTATGCATTGCTGGCACACCTGATCTACTCCCTCTACGCATTTTACGAGAAATCATTTTTATATGTGGTGTCTAACAACTTTTTCTTTGCTATATAGTTTAGATGTTCCCTAATATTAGTAATTGTTCAAAAATTTAATCAACAGTACTTTAATATAAGCTATAAACATATATAATCTTCACTTTTGGAAAAACCTGGAATTGATGTTCAACCCATAACTAGAAAGTGTGGAGTTCATTTGCTGGACTCCGTTATACATTTTGGAACAAAGTACCAATATCCAAAATTGAGCGAACTCAGACTTTCGCTTAATCACTTCAATAAACTTCTCTAGTGTCAGGAAGTGTAACATTTAAGAGAAACAAATCACCTTGTCCTCTGCCGGAGGATGTGGCTGAGCATTAGCCTCTTTTCTCACCCTTTCATTATTTTCTATCGACTGCAATGAGAAGAAGAATCATAATAATATAAAATTACATATAATAACAATAATGAAACAACATGAAAGCCAACAACAACAACAACAATGATCACGATAACAATAACAATGAAAATGATGAGTAAAGCAGATGTACATCATGTTGAACAATAACCATGCTTTTCTACCAAAGACATGACTTTTAGAGCCCAATAAAAAACAAAACAGACTACTGTATCACAGAAACTTGGTAAAGTAACTAGTGTCAATTGCTAGTACAGTTCAAGATTCAGTATTAAGAAGGCAGAGTCACTTAAAAAAATCAGTAAAGCAATTCATAAAAACCCATCCGATTTTCTAATAAAAAGGTGCATAACTAAAATGGAAAAACAATATTTGATATGCCTGAGTCAAAGAAATATCTTATAGCACTATAAGCATGGTTATAGAATCAGAAACAGGCTAAAATTCTCTTCTTCATTGAACTTTATGTCATGGTCTGTGACACAATTTTTAAAAAGAAATTGAAGAGATCACCTGTTGTATCCGGGCTCTCTTTTGGAAGATTTGATCTTCATAAACTGCTGCTGCCTGAATAAAATGTTCTACTCTATCCAAAAAAAACCTGTGAATGGATGGTCATATTACTCAACCAAAATATAGGATTTCTCACCTTGGCAACCCAGAGAAACTAAACTTATCTAGATGCCGTGTCTTGTATGACTACATAATAAAATCTTATATATGTTAGCTTTAAAATTCAAGTAGCCATGTCATATAAATGAAGCAAATTCCTTGAATCAAAGTGGTGATATTTAGTAGGCCGTTTGGACATGCAATTTCACCTCGTGATTTGAAATCATGAAATGAAATCAGCATTTGAACATGAGATTTCATCTCATGATTTGAATTCATGAGATAGAAATCCCAAATTCTCCAAAAAAATTGATTTGAGAATTTCATATCATGATTTCACATTTTTTAAATACAAAATTTGGCCCACAATTTATATTTTGTAAAAAAAAATCACCATTTTGTATCTACCAACCAATCATTTATTTCATATGTAAACAAAAGTTATAGTTGATAACATTTTTGTTACGTGTCTCTTTAGTAAATATTATTCGTTTACACAAAGCTATCTCATTTCCGTCATATGTCTCTTTAGTAACTCTTTACAAAAATGTTATTTTTGTTGGTAGATAAATATTGTGAGAAGTATAAGAGAAGAATATTATTGAATTGTTGTTTCTACATCTACCATACAATCCTTTATCAAGTACGAAACTATATTTTGTTCCTATTCCTATTCCAAATAGGATTGTATATACCTATTCCAATTCTAACAAATATTATATTGTACACTATTATATTAAAGAGTATTACACTACAACTCCGGTTCAATTTTACCTTTTTATTGATCAAAATATTGTATTTTTGTCACAATAGCTTTGTGTTTGTGATAGTGTATTATACTTTTGTTATGAACTTTTGTTTATTTGGTAAGATTGTATAAAGAATTGGGACAATTTTGATAGTTTTCACAACTTAGAGGAGTTCTATGTACGAGCAAAAAATATAACTTAAAAATCTAAATTGCATGTGCAAACTTCAACTTCAACTTCATCTCATATGATTTCATCTTAAATGGCCAAACGGGCCCTCAGAAGCAGATGAAACAGAAGAACTATCAGATATATTTATGCTGTCTTGTAATGTCTTTTAGTTGTTTAACATACAATTCTTGATGCCAAAAAGAAATTTAAAAAATTGAGAATGAAACAATTGATAAAAATAAATAAAAAATAATTTTACATACAATTGCAGTGTTGTCAAAGGTGGACTTAAAACGTGCTTAAGTCGTGAAGTGAGGGTCAAAATGTGTTGAGCAAGTCCCCTCACTTAATGTGCGCTTTATGGCATCATTGAGGCGCAAAGCATACTTTTCCTTTCCAATGAGCCTCTTTTGAAGAGCGGCACTAAACAAATGATATTTTACTTTATCGTAAAAAAAATCCAATTTCTTTTTTTCATATATTTGTCATTCATGCCTACAATTATTAGACTTTTTCCCCAGACATTACTTTAGCCAGTTAACCATGGACACTTCACAAAGCAGAGAAATAACATTATTACCAATATAGGCCATGCAAAGGGTGCGGACATGAACTAAATTATCTGAAATAATCAAACAATCAAGAAGTACTTGCACTAGAAAAGTAGGTATACCAACAAAAAAGTTCATCTGACTGAACAATGAAAACATCTATATAATACAAGCATGCTGCACTACATCACATATAAGTTGAGTCCTTGTGAGAAATTTGAAGTGTTTCATTGTAAGAAAGTAAATTACCTCACCCGCATCCGTAAGATAACCACCCATAGTTGTAAAGTCCCTTCTATAGATGGACATCAGCAAATTGATGGCACCCTAGAAAAGTTTACAAGATTAAGGAAACATTAACCAAATAAGTAGAATGACCACCCGCTGCATAGCAATGGGACAGAAGGAAGGAATAGCAGTTGCAATGTCATTCGACAGAAAAAAAAAATTTACATGCCCAATATTCTTTAACAATCAGAGTACAATATCCATAGAGGGAAAGCTCATTATCACCAGAAATTTAACAATCCGAGTACAATATCCACATAGAGAAAGCTCATTATTACAAGAAACTTAACCAAGAAGAAAAGGCATATATCAGAATAATTGCATACCTCTCGAATCTCCAGTGTTGGCATATGGGGAAGAAAATCGTTTCCAACAAAAAAACACAAAAAAACAAAATCATCCACCACCCTTTCAAAGTCTATCTGAAATGGAGGGTTGTAAATCTCTAAATCATATTGCAAATACTCTCGCAGCACACAGATATGGAGAAACTGTGAATGGTAAAAAGAGGTATCAACAAGATGGACCAAGTATTAGACGATACGATACTTAAAATTGGAAATTAAAGAAGAGGCATCAATCTTTAAACCTGATATTTCTTCTTGTGAATAGGTGTGTCATTCACAGCCTTCCCATCTGTACCATGACAATTAGCTGCAAGATGTCCAACCTGACCACAGGCAAAACACTTCTCCTGCTGACCTGGTGGAGTAATCACCTGTACAGAAGATCAGACTGTCAGTTTCTGAAGAAAAAATAATTTGAATGCACAGCCACTTGGTAGTAGTAGCTACTGACCTCCCTCAATATTGAAAAATGGACTTCATGAGTAGCCAGAGACAACATAATAAGATCTGCATCCTAAAGAAAGTAAATTGGATAATTATGAAGAACTAAGACATCAGATTATCAAGACAAACTCAAAAAAATGAGGCAACACTTGTTGAAAGCAAAATAGCAAGGATGAACCGAGATTCTGTCAAAAACATATCAATTTCTTGCACCGAAAAAAAAAGTTAGAAGGATTAACAGAATATAAGAAGATATCAAACAATAATGCAACACTTTCACTCACTAGACCATAGAGACAATGGCGGGTATTCGGGTTGAATCCAGGAATGTTACGTTGCCAGCGGATGTAGGACATAATTTTGTGTTCACCCTCACCAGGCACATTAGCATCAGAAAGGATAACCTACAAATAATCACCCAATGCAGCCCAGTAAATAAGTTAGGAGGGACAGGATATCCTGAAAATCAGAATTGTATTCTAAAAGAACCAGAAAGGATTACTCCACAGAAGGAATCCTCCGACTCTTAAAGGTCATATTAAAGCAAGATAACTTTAGTAGATTAAACTGGAACAACCTTGGTAAACCGCCAGCCAGCATTTTTATTCAACCTCGAGTGTATATAATATTGAAGAGCTACTGATAGTACTGCCATAAATGGAGTACCAGGAGTAATAACATTTGAATCAGATGTCTCGGGCTTTTCTGTAGGCACTAAAATAGCAGCTTCCATCTCAAACTCTTCTCTTAACCTTTTTTCTTCAGCTTCCTGTCATAAAAGTTTGAATGAGATGCATACATTTACAATGTTAAACCACATAGGTAAAGGAAAATTATACAGATTCAGCAGCATCTTTAGCAGCTCTGAAACGCCTGGTTCTCTGCTGATTCATCTTAGCTCTAGGAGCCACTCCATCTAAGAAATACATATTGAAGTTAGGACTTTAAAGATTGAAGTTGTAAAGATATGCAACATTTACGGCCACAACTTACCAATAGCCATATAGAGGAGTTTTCTTGGACGCACTAATGAGAAAAGATGGTCAATGTAGTCAAAAATTGAGTTGAATACGTCATTGTAGGTTGCTGGTGCAGGCTGCAATGTGGGGAAAAAAACTTGATACGAAGGTAGTGCCCAACTAAAGGAAAAACAGTAGAGAAATGGGGAGATATACTTAGTATTTGCAACAAGAAATTTATTTTTATTTATATTTTTTCTAACCAAGAAAAAAGTACCGCACTCCAGGTTTAAGGTAGTAATGCCAATCTATAAAGTAATTTGATTGAACATCTTGAATTGTATTGTTATTTTGGATGTAAGTTTGCCCATATCAAGCATGAAATGACGTGATTCATCATCATCCTACACAACCTTCATTACATTCATCAAAAACTATTTTTGGATCAAGTACCTCATAGGTAGCCGATATGTCAAAAGTTATTTGTTTACAGCTACCACAGACAAATGACCAGGTAAATGCCTTAAATTCCTCCATTCTATTTAGAGCTTTACATAAATCAAGATTATTTTATTTTATTTTTTGAAATAATAAATCAAGATAATTTTCACAATTAAATTGCTGCTGAATCTCATCATCTAAGATCCTGTCTTGTCTTACTTCAATTCCAACAAATTCTTGTTCCACTGTAAGCTTTCACATAAATCGTTTACTTTAAGCTGCTTTGTCTACCCTGCAGATATTATTAGTTATATCTTATCTAGTACAAACAATGTGCAGTAGTAACTTGAATCCAGTTCACTGAAGCAGCTGATAAATGATGTGTCGTGGAATTACGACACATTTGATGTCTTTTAGATGAGTTTTTATTGTCTTTAGCTTGTTTTTATGTGTTTCTAATGTTAAAATGTTGTGTTGCACGTACTAGGAGGAAAATTGGTCAAAACAAGGAAAAAAGGGCCAAGGACCCCGTATGGGCATGTTGCGGACCGTACATTTGATGTAAGGCACGTACATGCAACAGTAGATGAACCCAAAGCCTTGGAAGTTGTTAAGAAGTCCCACATCGGTAGAGGGATGGGAAATTGGTCTCCTTGTATGGACTTGGACAGACCTCCCCTCATGAGCTAGCTTTTGGGATTGAGTTAGGCCCAGGTGCCATATCTTTACATGGTATCAGAGTCGGGCCCATCCCAAGTTGTTATTCACCGATGTTGGGCCCCCATTTAGTAGTGTTCACGCTCCAATTGAGGTCTGGGCGTGCGGGAAAGTGTTAAGAAGTCCCACATCGGTAGAGGGATGAGAAATTGGTCTCCTTTTATGGACTTGGACAAACCTCCCCTCATGAGCTAGCTTTTGGGGTTGAGTTAGGCCAAGGTGTCATATCTTTACAGAAGTGTTTAAGTGTCGTTAAACTCCCTTACGTGCAATATGTCTGGTCGTGGGAAAAAGAGTCCACTATCCAGAAGCTCAAAAATTAGAGAGGCCCAAGCACGGTGGAAGATACAGACTGTATGTCAAGCCACTGTCTGTAAAATAAAAGACGGAAACTCAGGGAAGACAAACCACGAAACAGCTCATGGACTGTATGTCAATTCCATGGTCCGTAAGTCATGGAGAAGGAACCCCACACTAGCAAAGATCATATAGTCGACCATCTACCGTCGCCATCTATGGACCGTTTGTCAAATTCACGAGCCATAGATGGATTAACAGTGGACTGTTTGGGACAAGTATCAAGCCATTTACGGATGGCTGAAGAAGATCTATGGGCCATATGTCCGTTTTACGGTCTATAAATGGTGCCGACAGGAATTTCAGTTAGAATTTGATTCCGAGTTTGTGGTCCAATATAAATACTTTTTGTAGTGTTTTTGTACAGTATCTTTCCAAGAATTGATACAAACAAGTTAGAGTATAGAGTATTACTTTGTCTTGTCGTATTTCAAGGAGAGAATACTAATTTTCTTGAGATTGTTTTCTTCATCATCGTTGTAAGCAAATTATGAATTATTTATTACTTTGCATTAATTTCAAAATTATGAGTAGCTAAATCTACTACTAAGGTAGTGAACCCTTGTGCGCATGAATTTTTCGAGCTAGTACATGATTTGGGGGTTTCGATATTTGTTTATTTCTTGACTCTCATTCTTAATTGTTGGTTGGTGGTTGCAAACACTAACCTAGGACAATTGCCCTAATTTTACGTGGAAAAGTGAATTAGGATTTGGAAGAAGTAAATAGAAAGAACTCGAGGTGTTAACCCTCCTTTAATAGAATTGCTTAGTAATAAGTTGAATTTAACAAAAGGGGTATTATTCTCTCTTCAAAAAAAAACTCTCAGACACAACAACCGAGGAAATGTCCTAACCTAGTACGACCCCTCCCCAACGTCCTCCGGTGATCCATCTGATCACCGGATTTCATTTCCCTTTCTTTTCTTTCCCTCTATCCTTGCAACCGATCTCAAATGGAAGACAGTATTTATTTTGCAGTTGGATTGAAGACCTACGACATCACAAGAACACCTGGTACGGCAAGAGCCTGGTACGACTGGACAAAAAGAAATAGGAACTTTATTACAAGAACGACTTTCAATGAGAAGACAATGGAATGAATTGTGCAGATATTAAGGGAGGCATCATTGACAAAGGGGAATATGGTGAAGAGATGGAAGAAAGTCGATTTTTCAGATGTTTTTTGCTCGAGGAACTACAAAAAATATGGGCGCAACATTAGTTTAATAAAAGTGAAAGGCAGGAGGAAGGGAGTTATTATCATTCATGAATTAAATTTCAACTCAAGGTGGTTGAGCATTGCGGAAAAGGTAGGGAGTTTTATTAATAGCCATAGAAAGTTAATGTATGTGGGTAATCATAGGTTGGTGAGCAGAGACATTCCATATGCTACAGTGCTAAGGAGCACTAAATAGGTTAATCAGGATTCAAAAGTTGCTGAGAAAGAGAAGGCTGCTCTAAAAGGGGATAGAATCTTTATCAATGATGACCCAGAGGAATACAGTGAAGTAGTGAAGTGTTAAAGAGGAGTTTGGTGTGTGCATTTCAATCCAGAGTCTGAGAAACAATGACTCTATCAGAAATCAGGGGATGGGCTAATCAACTGTGGAAACAAACACACGGCTTGAACATCTATGAAATAGGCAATGAACTCTTTCTATTTGAGTTTGCACACATGATCACAGCAGAGCAAGTGATCAAAGGGGATTGGAAGTGGAGGAATAGTTATCCTCTAGTGGTGGAACCCAACAATAGGTATAATATGCGGGAGGAGTAAAGAAAATTCAACTTGGGTAAAAATTGTAGGGTTACCTTTGCATTTTTGGGATTAGAAAATTTCCAAGGTCATCGGAGATTTCTGTGGGGGTGGGTAGAGACGGAAGAGGAAACCCAATTGAGAAATCATCTCAAATGGGCAAGAATCAGAATCAAAGGAGATGGGGCAGACATACCCAAAAAGGTGACCATTGACGGGGGCGGAATATGCTACACGATGCAAATCTGGACCGAATCGCCGCTAAGGGTGTCCACCGGAGAAGATCTAAACTTTAAGGTCATTACCCAATGGTTACGAGGTGGAGAACCACCAGGTGAAGTTAAGAACCTTCTACAAAGTCAAAAAGCAACAGATATAGTTGATAGAGCACGTGTTTTAACAGAGGCACATCGGCGGTCCTTTAAATTAAATGAAACAGTGGGTTAGGGCGAGTCCAACTCGAAACAAAGCCCAACTTTAAGATTGGGGCCAGAAAAATAAAGAAGATGGGCTCGTAAATAAAAAGCTTGACATGGCACGTGAAAAGCAGGGGGAATTTCTACAAGGGTTAAGTGATATCAAGGACTTAGCAACTCAGTTCTTATAGGCTTACAGCAAATGGGAAACATCAAATACGGTGGAAAACATAGACATCTCTGCTCACAAAATAAAGAGTCGATAAACAAGATGAAAGAGGATGTCGAACCAATACTCAATGAAGCAAAAGGGATCGATCAATCTAAGGATTTTGGGGAGGCCTCGAGGGTACAAAAATTTGTGAAAGGAGGCATGCAAATTAAGCATATTCACAATGTTGAGCTGGTTTCCATACAAAATCCTGGGTATCATATAGACGGCGAGATTGAAAGAGTGATGGAAAAGAAAGGGGCAAACAATGCAGTATCAACACCTCATCACAGAGGAATTGGCAAGAATGAGTGAAAGAACTTACCGTCAGATTTGAAAGAGGAAATTGAAGGTGTAAGAAACAAAAGGAGAGTTTTGTCATTAACTCTTAAATGAAAGTAAATATATTATCATGGAATATCAGGGGGATTAACAAGATTTCAGCAAGGAATCTCGTTAAGAGCTCTCTTCTGAAATGGAGAGTGGATGTTTATTGCTTTCAGGAGACCAAAAACGGTAAAGATGTAAAGGGGACTACCAAACAATTGTGGTTAGTAGATGGATGAAGTGTGGGTACATTGAAGTTGATGGTAGTAGTGGGGGATACTAATTATATGGGATTCAAGATTTTGGGTAGGCAACTGTGTAGAGGAAGGCAAATTCTCAATCACTTGCAGATTTGAAGTTGTCCAAGATGGCTTTTATTGGTTTCTACTGGCGTGTATGTTCCACACACCAGAGCTGAGAAATTGGAATGCAGGGAAGAAATTACAGCAGTTAGGGAGTTGTGGAGGTCCCTGGGTCACTTGTGGGGACTTCAACACTATCAGATGAATGGTAGAAAGGAGAGGATGCAAGAGAATAACCAATGTAATGACTAATTTCTTGTGTTGGATAGAGGATATGGAGTTACATGACACCTACCTAAATAGTGGGATTTTTACTTGGTTTAGAGGGGCTAACTACCACAATGTTGCGAGATTGGACAGGTTTCTCTACTCAATTGAATGGGAAGAACACTTCAGAAACATTAGACAGCAAATTATGCCTAGAGTTATATCTAATCACAACCTCATTATGCTACAATGTGGTGATTAGGAAAAGAGGAAGGCTTACTTCAAATTCAAAAACTGGTGGCTTAAGGTAGAGGGTTTCAAAGATCTAGTCCAGGATTGGTGGAATGGTTTTGTTGCGGAAGGATGCCCAAACTTCAAACTCAGTATGAAATTAAAGATGCTAAACCAGAAACTCAAAGAATGGAGCGGTGTAACCTTTGGGGAACTTAATAAGAAAAACCGTTTACTAAATGAGCTAGCTGAGATGGATCTGATTTAGAATGATAAAGTGCAGACAGAGGATGAGATGATGATTAGAGCAACAGTTCTAGTCGAGCTAGAAAAATTAGCAAAGAATGAAGAGTCCAGGTGGCATTAAAATGAAGTGTTTGAAAGATCCTTGAATGCCACTTTTGTGGCATTAATCCCTAAGAAGTTTGGAGCTAAGGAACTCAAGGATTTTAGTCCTATAAGTTTGATTGGTGGAATGTACAAAACCATCGCTAAGTTGATCACCGAGAGAATGAAAACAATTATGGGGAGACTGATTAATGAGCACCAAATGGCTTTTTTGAAGGACAAGCAGATAACAGATGCTTCTTTATTGGCTAATGAGTTGGTGGACCCACCGTAAAACAAAAGATACCAAGTATTCTATGCAAATTGGATATAGAGAAGGAGTCTGACCATGTCACCTGGAACTACCTCATTAAAGTTCCGAGTGACGTGGGTTTTGGGTGGAAATGGGTGAATTGGATCAAGTATTGTGTGTCAACAGTGAAGTTCTCAAATCATTATGAATAGGATTCCAGAAGGTTTTTTTCAATCACAAAGGGGATTGAAACAAGGAGATCCCATGTCTCCTTTCTTATTCCTCCTAGCAATGGAGGGGCTCAACTACATGGTTAGAAAGGCTAATGAATTGGGGTGGATAGGAGGTATTGGTACATATATACAAACAGGGCTGATAACATGGAGGTCACACACCTACTATATGCAGATGATTCTTAAGTGTTTTGTGGTGCAGAAGTGTTTCAAATTAGACATTTGAGGGCAATACTAACCATATTTGAAGGAATATCATGTTTACATGTGACCTGGCAGAAGAGTTGCTTGTTCCCAGTTAATCAAGTTAATAGCATACAAGGCTTTGCCGACAACCTGGGCAGTCAAGTGGCTTCCCTTCCCACCAAATACCTTGGATGCCCTTGGGCACCAAGAATAAAGAATTGGAAGTATGGAGTGAAGTCTTGGAGAGAAGGAAAGGAAGTTGACAAGGTGGAAGAGTCAATATCTATCCCTGGGAGGTAGGTTGACTCTCATAAAATCAGCTCTGGATGCCCTTCCAACTTATATGCCAAGTCTTTTTCCACTGCCAAAAATATTGGAAAGGAACTCAACAAGTTGAGGAGGGTTTTCCTCTAGCAAGGGAATAAAAAGAAGCAAGGATACAACCAAGTTATATGGGAAGAGGTGATAATGCACAAAACACAAGGGGTCTGGGCATTAAGAATCTGAGTACTCAGAACACCAGTCTGCTGCAAAAATGGCTATGAAGATACTGTTGTGAAGCTATGGCATAATGGAGGAGGTTCATTGCTGAGAAATATGGCCTACGAAGCAACTGGATAACTGAAGAAGTGAATGGCACTTTTGGGTGCTCTGTATGGAAAACCATCAGGAGAATGTGGTTTGATTTCAATGCAAAGGTGACATTCAAAGTGGGGAACGGTTTGAAGACTAGTTTCTGGAATAAGATCTGGTTAGGTGATGTGAAATTGAGGATACTTTTTCCTAATTTGTACATTATCAGCCTAGAGCAGAATGACACTAAAGGACAGATTTGGAGTTGGGACCTTATGTTAAGAAGGGCACTAAATGATTGGGAGGTTGGATGCTTTAGACTTGTTTCCAAGCATTGCCACAGAGCCCGCCAACCCATTTTGGGAACTGCATAGCAGAGGAGATTTTACAGTGAAGTCCTATTACTAGGAGAGGTATACCAATCATCTTTTGACAACAGTTTGGCCCTGGAAATTAATCTAGAAGGTTAAGATCCCTTTAAAAGTTGTATGTTTCACTTGGTTGGTAATTAGAAGAGCTCATCTAACCCATGAAGTGCTACAAGGAAGAGGTATACAGATCTGTTATATATGCGGACAAGAGGCTGAAGTAAATGACCATTTATTTCTGCATTGCAAGCTAGCTACAGTTCTGTGGAACATATTTGTTTGTGTACTCAGGGTAAATTGGACAATGCCTAGAACCACTTTTGAGGTCCTAACACACTGGCAAGGAATTGGAAAGAGAGGATCAAAGGAAGATTGGTGGAAAAATATCCCTGCTTGCATCTAGTGGTATTATAATGGTTTAGCATATCGGGTGGGAGGCATTACACGAGGAAAAGGAATGGTTGCAGAGATAGTTTGATGCATAAGAAGTTTTGAATTGCATAAAATCATGTGCCAATGGGCAAGAGTTGTTTATCATTTTAGCTTAAAACCAAGTGCTTATAAGCACTTTTTCAATATACCCAAAACACTCCAAACATGCTTAAAAGTTATTTTGGCTTAAAAGCACTTAAAATAAGCTAATCCAAACAAGCTCTTACAATCTCCTTCTTCCTTTGGTTCCAATTATTTTTATCTCCAGTTTCCATTCCTTTAGCTTCCCCTTGAGCATTCTCATCTTAGAAGCTAGGACATAAGAGCATGTACCAGTGATATTGAAAGATGCCCACCATTCTTTAACTGCCTGAGAAACTTTCCACCCTAAACCACCATTGTTCAAACTTGAAGTAAGACTTCTTCAAATTTAAATCTCCAAATTCAAGTATAATTGGACTGTAGTCTGAACCTATTTTGGGAAGTAGGCTTTGTATAATTTGTGTGAAGGTATCATCCCATGGGGAAGAGAATAAGAACCTATCAATTTTGGAGGCTGACATGGGATTGTCCCCTCTTCTCTGTGTAAAGGACCCCCCAAATAAAGAAGGGTCAATGAACTCCATCTCATTGTTCCACTTGGAGAATTCAATCATTGTCCCAGTAATTATGCGCCCTTCTGATCTTTTCATTTGGGTATCTTGTGGCATTGAAACCCCCACAAGCTACCCAAGGCCCACTGCTCTCTTCTTTGATATTGATTGACTCTTGCCAAAGTTCTCTTCTAATTATTGGATCACAAGAGGCATACACAACTAAAAGAAACCTGGTGAATGCCTGATTAATGCCTTCAAACTTGCAGGCTACCATTTGGTTTGTTTCTGTCACCAGTTCTCCTTTCCACACTATCTTATCCCACATTACTACAATACCCCCACTTCTACCTATAATAACATGAAATTTCCCCATCCATCTATTTTGCCATACTTTTTTGAATACATTCACCTATGTTCCTGTCAGTTTTGGTGGATGTCTCCACCAGAACATAAAATTCAGCTCCCATCGCTGAAATAGTCTCCTGACTACCCCCTTTTTATCTTCCCCAGTCCCCCCCCCCCCCCCAACCTTACATTCCAAGAAAGGATTTTGACTTTCAGCTAGAAAAATTCCCACTTTAAAGAATGAAAGTGTACTTAAAGTGAGCCAGTGTGGTCCTTTGAATTTGAGTGACATTTTCCAATAATCTTCCAATAAAAACAGAAGTCCTCCAAGAGGAAAGAGGAAACAAGCAGGTCCTTTTGTTATTTCTCCTATCCTAAACCCTACATACTTAGGCAGGAGAAAAGAATATTAAATCTGGATGACAGTTTACTGGTCCAAAATTTACTCAATTGAATGATCTTAATTAGTTGTGACAAGTACAGCACAAGGGAAGTGCTCTTATAATGACAGGAATAGTTGTCCAAATAACATTATTTTCTAGCTTAGTCATAGGTTCTAACGTAGATCCTATGACTGATATATATACTCATTATCCTTCATTAAAAGCTATGACTAAGTTAAACAAATTACAGTCACAAAAGAATAACATCCTTTTAACATAGAAAAGCTATATAAGTGCTAACAAACTATATGTCAAACAACAGTAACATGCATTGTGCATAAGCGTAAATGAATTAGGTATATCAAAATACCAAATAAATCCATAGGAGAACTTTCAAAAAGAAATACTTGTTCACCTTTCCTTCAGGATGAAAACAAGGATGAATGATACCATTCATGTCCAAGTACAAGTTATCAAATTCCATGCCATTAGGGTTTGGCTTTGAAACATCCACCGGAACATCATCTTTAGGCTCTTCCTCTACCATGTCCACAATCGAGAGTGGGTATCGATCAGCCAACCACCTATAAAATGCTGGTACTCCCATTTTGTCTGATTAGCTCAACTCCAGTCAATTAAAAGTACCTGTTACAAATATTGAACAGCAACACCAAAATTTGATCAACAAGTGAGCATTTTTCTGGCCAACTTTAAATTCTTCACATCAATGAAAAGCTATGCTAACCAACCTTCTATCTGAATAACAGGTTACAGAAATCAAAAACATTTTACTGATTGAAGTAGAATTAGTCAAAAGGTTAGATTTTAGTTTTAAAAAAAACACAAACATACAAGCAACATAGAGCTAACTCTTCTTCTGGAAAAAATTATAGCAATCACCCATGCTTTCCAACTTTCGATATACATAAGCATGGAAGTTATAGGCTTTAAAAATGAAAAGAAACAGAGAAAACCAAATGAATTTAAGCAACAAAAACGAAACGTACCTGAAGGGGTTTTAGAACTTCACAATTCACCTAAAAACCGATCAATCTGGACAAAATTAGGGTCATAAAAATGCGATTTGAGAAGAGACAGAGAGGGGCAGATTTTAAGGAAAAGTGAGATCAATTTATAAAATCTCAACAAATCGCCACAGCAGCTATGAATCAGTTTGGATTTTCCTCTCCTCTTCTCTTCTCTTCTCCTTCTCCTTCTCCGTATGGAACTCTTTGCTTTCCCCTTCTCTTCTTTTTTTTTTCTTCCCCTTTTCTCTTCGGGAGGTATAAATAAAAATACATTTAATCCATATTTGATATTTTATTATTATTATTATTATTATATACACTTTATATTTAAGATTGATCAATTATATATAACAATATAATATTTTTTCCTTAAATATAATATCTTATAATATTATACTATATTCATTACTTGTTTGGATTGGTTTATTTTAAATAGCTTTTGTAATTTATTTTTTTAATTTTCAGAGGTGTTTACTAAGAAAGACAAAAAATGTTTTTCTTAAGCTGAAAATGTACAAAATTAAGTTAGAAGTTAAAAATTGAATATTCTCGACTTATAACTTTTAGCTTTTAGCTTATACGCAACTTTTAAAATGTCAATTCAAACACTTCCTAAAAACTATACAATTTTGCTTTCTTTATATGAAATAGGACAGTGGCTTTAAAAGCCTCATTTATTTACATTGTTTGCTCCCTAGTTTATCCTATTTTAATCGCTCCATTAACAAATATTCGTGGAATATTTTTTTGGCATAAATATTCAATATTAGATAACTTTTAGATAAAACTTCATATTTTTTTCATTTCTTTTGTTTAATATTTCTGCATTTAAACACACACAGCAGAAATTTTAATCAATTTTAAAATATGTTTCAGTCAGATATGACTAAGAGCAGAAGTACATAAAAAGAAATCTATATTTGTATCATATATCATATTCTTTATATGAAAATACATAATTACCCCCATCAAACTTAGATCTTTTTTTAAAGTAGACACCATAAGTTTGCGGGGAGGGGGGGTCCTAATACCTCCACGAAACCAATTAAATCCGCAATAAATATGTCATTTTGACCCATTTTCACAACAATTGTAATTTCACGCTAAAAAAGCGCGTGAAAGAGTAAAATTGCAGTCCCAAACCAATGCAAAACTGAAACATGGCATGCCAACCGAAGTAAAAAAGAGACTCACGTTTCTTCGTCCCTAAACAACCATTAATGGTTGTTGAGAGCTTTTCTCAACAGCATAAATTGGTTCTTTACTACGGCGAAGCTAATTCCTTTATTTTATACTCTATCATCAAGTTCTAGCAATCCATCTTAAAGCTTTTTTTTATAAAAATCTAATTAACAATGACATAAAACTTAGCCAATATATCACCTAAGCTATAAGTTAAGGTTCTTACCTTGGCAAGTGAGAATACCCCTTTTCGGTGTGGGGTAGATACCAAATTCCATGTTTTAGCTCACATGGTCTCTCTATCGGTTAAGGCTCATTTCCCACAAACATGACTAATGATGAACTAAGCTTACTTTAAGAAGTATTTCCCAAGTGTTCAAAAGAGATGTTTTATTTGCAATTGACCATGATAGTATGATGCTCTCTAACTTTTCTTATGGTTTTAACTTAGTCTTTGCATGAGCATGAAAAGGTCCTTTTTAGCATGATTTTACTACTCTATGCATTACTGTCATACTTGGTACATTTTTATACTAACGCATACTCTTGCCTACATTGTTTTCTTCAATTTAGGGTCTGGCTTTACATGTTCTCATTCTCGTTGCTAGGAGTCACCTTCAACTTTTACTTAGTAGTGGTGAGTCCTCATCTTTCGAGGACCAAACCTTTATTTCTTTCAATTTTAATTTTTAGACATTGTACGTGATGTCAGGGTTACGTCCCGGTACTCTTGATGTAATAGATGGCTTGAGATATTAGTAGACTCCCGCTTCTTTTTTATAAACTCTTGATATGAAATGTTGTTTCTTTAAATCTCTTATATTTCCTTAATCTATGCTATGTATGCTAAGTGGCTTGTGTGGGGCCTCTCGGGATCCTATACGTCATGTTACTCCTAGGGTGTACCCTGGGGTCGTGACATGGCTGCAATCTATAAACACGCAGGAATATACCGAATGAGGAAAGAACACATCCACTCCTTCAAACCTAAACCCTCCTACTGATTTTCAGGTAATAAATCCCACATTATAACTTCTACTTCATTATTGTTGCTCACATATATTGCCTTTTTCTCCGAGATAATATCTCATATGGTCCCTCAACTATTAAGAAAGTCACTCAACTTTGATTTTTAACTCAAAAGTCACTTAACTATGGACTTTTTTCATAGAAAGTTACTCAACTATGAATATTTTACTTACAAAGTCACTCAACCTTTTATTTTACCTTTTTTCCCCCAAAATTATTCTCTTATCTGTTGTGTATTTTTTTAAAAAATTTTTTTTAACTAATGAGGTGCATGATTTGATAGGTTTAATTTTGGGCTTTGAATATAACCAAAGACAGTTATAAAATACATTAAAATTAAACAACAATTTTCAAGTTGAATGGTTCGACTTAATGCCATTTCTTATTTTTCTGGTAACAAATTAGTAACTACTTAATTATTACAATAATATCTTGTTAACATCATTTATTAGGTGCTAAAATTATATGTAAATCAAATGATTAGTATTTACTGGTCATTGGTATAATATAAGTTATAATATTCTAAATCATTACTGGTAAAATATTAGACATAATATTAAAAATAATTATGCATCATTACAAAAATATTAGGACGTCATTATGGACGATAACGTTCTTGTCAAGACTCAAGACCTTCAGTATATTATTGATTAATATTATCCAAAAAATTTCTTACAGATGTAATTTTAATTTAATTATTTTGTTTAACTAAAAAAAATAAAGAACACATAAGATAATAATTTTGAGAGGATAAAGGTAAAATAAAAGGGGTAACTATTATATTTTTAACTGGTTGGACCAAATTGGCGGACTTTAAATGGTTTAAATGGATATTTATTTCTTAATATTTTGGTTTTAATAAAAAATTTATGTCAATAAATTTTAATGAAAAATAAATTAAATAGTTTGAGTGACTTTTTAAGTCAAACATCCAGAATTGAGTGACTTTTGAGTTAAAAATCAAAGTTGAGTGACTTTCTGAGAAAAAAAGTGCAAAGTTGAGTGACTTTTGAGTTAAAAATCAATGTTGAGTGACTTTATGAGAAAATAGTGTATAGTTGAATGGCCATCTGTGATATTGTCTCATTTTTCTCTTGCTTCAGCAACTAAACTACCTCCGTACCCCCTCGAATTAGCATACACTCACCTATTAAAACTATGAATCAATTACTTGCGGAGACAACACGCCCACATGAGGGCCTTCATTATACCATAATCCTGCAAGAACCATCGGACAATTAACAATGATTGCAGAACCAATGTCTTATGTACTAATAGATTATTATCCCCTATTTACCTCTTCACTTTGCTACCCTTGTACTGCGAATTACCTATCTGAACCTCCCCAAGGTGTTTAACATTGACATTGTTGTGGCAATGCCATTTTATTTTGAACAACTCACCTCATATTCTATTTCTATTATGTTACAACTCGAGTTATAATGATATATATCCTTTAATATATCTTGTGTCCCTTCATTAACATGATTTTAACAAAACACATTGGCCCAATGGTCATTACCCACACTATATACACTAAAATTTTCTACCAAGGAAAAAGAACTATCGTGTTCCATTTGATAGTCCTCATGAAGATTGTGGAACTCCTATGGTTGTTACAATATGCATATTTGTATTATGTGAAGGACTTGTGTCCCTTCATTATCATGATTCTAATAAAACACGATGGCCCAATTATTGAATCAAGAATTATTTAATTCAAATTGCAACGATAACCAACTATACAATATGTTGATGAAGCATCATTCGAGATATATTGAATCTCAGAAGTTTGTAAAACTGTGGCGATGTTATCATTCTACTTTTACTTGATGTGGATCTTTGAAAGTCCACGTTTGGCTGCAAAACATTCCATTTTTATCGTATTTTAACGCTTGAGTAAACTAGGTTCTGTTAAATTTCATTCCTCATAGAATTTTCCGCATATCCTTAGTAATTGTATTGTAAATAACAGTTTATTTCATAAAATTTCATTTTTTTTATCCATCAAGAGTATTGTCACGCCCCGAGCTACCCCCAAGATGCGAACACGGGACCTAGGATCACAAGTGACCCCAAGCTAACCCTGTTGGCATAATCATGAGCATACTAAAGATAAACTGAGAAATAAAACTGTTGTGGAAGCTAATAATAAGTAAATATGAAATAATGGGGAATACCCATATACTAACTGAATATATAAAATCTGAGAGTTTAATAGAAACGAAACATCAAACTCAAATACTAAGCTGAATCTAACTATGTCTGAAAATAGCCTCTAACTGACTAGAAGTGCTGGACATGCCCTAACTAAGTCTAGAAAAACTGAAACTAAAAGACTGAAATAATGAAAAGATAACATGACTGTTGTCCTTGAAGAATGAGAACCCACTAATGCTGCTAGATTGGAGATCGGGAACCGATCTAAGTATGATCTAGATGCTGAGAACCTGAACCTACATCACGAGAAGATGTAGTGCAAAGTATGCATTAGTACTTGAAAGGTATTGAGCATGCAGGATAGAGTAAAGTTGAAATAAACATATAATTGAACAAGCATAAAGCAAGAGCATAATCTAAACATGATATCGATACTGAGCTAACCGAATGCAATGACCAAATTATAACATGCTGAGACTGAATACTGAACTGTACTGAAATATGGTCAATGCAATGGAATCTGACTGAACTGTGGGAACTACTAATAACCGATAATAAAACCACATGAGATAAATGTGGAGTTCGATGTATACGCCCCATCGAGAGGACCCAATACACCCGGCCAAAGGTACAAAGGCATGCTGGAGTGATCACTAAAATGATGCCCACAAAGGGGACTTACAACCTACGTGGCTCGTAGTTTTGGGACTATATGGGTGACTGACCCTAGTCCAATTCGGTATTATACCACTCCCAATGGATTAAGTGATTAACACATTATGACTGAATTACTGTGATATACTGCATAGCTCAAAATGACATGCAAACTGAGAATGCACATAAATAACTGATAATGA